GCAAGACCATCCTTTCATTCCGTCCTGCTCCCTGTACAAGCTCTTCCTGACCTTCTCTTCTCTCCTCATATCTTTGCCCCGTCCCTATCCATGTCAGTCCCTGTCCTAGTCCCTCCTCCCCTTCCATGGTGTCCCACGGAGCCCCATTCTGTTATGAACGTCAGCTAAGGACCTTGACTCATATTTTACTGGAAAATCTGCTGTGGGTTCCTCCTTCTCTCGGTCTCACAGTCCCTTAACACGGCCCCTCATTCTCTCCTCTTCGCTCCCTGGATGGCGAGGAGGCGGCCTTTCTCTTCACCTCATCACCTTCTGTCCTCCCCAGCACGTTGCCCTCTTGTCCACCCCCTCTTTCTTTAATCACCATCTTCAATTATCTTTGCCCACGGGCTCCTTCTCTGCTGCCCGCAGATCCGCCCCCATGAAATCCCTCCCTGGATCCTGCGATCCTCACCAGCGGCCACCACCCCCCCCTTCCCTTCAGAGCTGAACACCTAGAAGAAGGCGCCTTCTCCTGTCGCTTCCGTTTCCCGTCCTCCCTTCTCATGGTTGGCGGTTTGGTGTCTGCTCTCCTAAGTCACCATTGGTGTCCTCGTGGCCAGCTCCAACGGCCTCTCCACGCTCTCAGTCTTTGGCCTCTGCAGCCCCTGCGCCGGGATTGCCTTCTCCTCTTGGCCCTTCCTCTGTGGGATCTGGGAACTCTTCTCCCTGCCTGACCCGGGTCCTCCGTCTCCTCTGCTGGCTCAGCACCCGCAGGACAGCCTCTAATTTCGTGCATCCCCCAAAGTTCTGCCCTCAGGGACCCTCTTTTATTTTTGCTCTCCACCTCAGTTACCTCCATTTGTCATCTGTATGCAGAGAATCCCCATCTGCTCCACCCCACATAGCCAAGCTCTTTGTTGCTGTATCTTGCTGTTTCTGCTTCAGCCAAGACACATTTCTTAAGTGCCTACGTGTGCCAGGCATCGTGCTAAGCGCTCCCCTTTATAGTCTAGCCTTCTTCCTGGTCTTCATACATGACACTCCATTTCTGCTTTCCAGGCCTTTGACCAGGCTGTTCCCTATGCCTATTATGCCCTCCTTCCTCACTTTTACTTTTGTAAAATCCCAGTTTTCCTTTGAGATACAGTTCAAGTGTGACCTTCTCCAAGGAGCCTTTTGTGATCCCTCCAGGGACCAGATGCTGGCCTCCATTTTGCGAATACTTCCATATGCACATGTGATCTCCCCTGAGAGGCTGTAAGCTGCCCAAGGGCAGGGACTCTGCTCCTGTCTCTGAATTCCTGGCACCTTGCGCAGTGCCCAGCACATAGGTGCGTAGGTCTGCCCACTGACTGTCCAAGGGGAAGGAACCAGTCAGGTGGAAGAGTATTATTGGAATGGATAGAGGAGACGGCAGAGGGTTGAAGGCGCAAGTGGGTGGGCTGGTTGACCTTGGCCAGGAGAGTCCCCCAATCACTCAGCCTGGAGAAGTCACAGAAGCTTTGAGCTGTGGGGAAGGGGAGAGGGTGGGGGCCAACTCCCTGGCGAAGTAGGCGCACTGGTACCTGAGGGGACAGGACAGGGAGGAACTTGGGAAGAAGGTCTAGGGTCATTTCAGCATAAAAGCTCATCATGTTTGCATCTGCAATGGCGACCTCTAAAGCAGTTAGTATAGATTACTTTGATTTGCTTTAGTTTGATTGTAGGATTGTTTCCCTTCCTTAGCTAACTAACGGCTAGGCTGGCACAAATCTTCCCTTCCGCTTTAGTGACCAGAGAGACTGAAAACATTTGATAGCAGAGAAGTTAGAATGGGAAATATTTCTTTGTAGGAATTAGGTAACCACAGGATGAAAGGCCCAGGACTCTTGACCGAAGGCCAAGTTTCCTTTTCCGACAGCTGGAGGGTGGGGGGGCGGCCTTCCAGCCTACTCAAGATCAGGCCCCCTTTTCAGTGAGCCTTCCCTCAAAAGTTCCCAGAAGGGTAGAACTGAGTCCTAATCTAATCCAGTATTCAGTCTAGCAGTTACCCCCCACCCCCACCCGAAACTCCCCTGCACATCCCAATGGCCAGCAGCTGAATGCTGCAAATCCACCTGTTTGCCTGTTCTAGCAATACTTCCCTATTACTGCAAAGCCTATGAATAATCACCAGTGTTATGAACACATAGTATCTTCGTGAATAGGGTTCTTCTTTTGCTGTTATACAATAAGCTCTGTAAACCTGTCAAACATCTCTAGTCACTGGGTGATTATCACCTGATTTCGTGGGCAATAGTCAGCCTTGCTAATTAAATCAAATGCCAAGGCAGTTTTGTGTCTCAGACTTTTTCAGATTTAAACTCAGCCCATGTATCCCCAGGATTTGTGTAGACTGAGAGGGCTGTGCCCTTACTGGGGGCCGTTTATTTTGTGGGTATCTTCACTTGTTGACATCTGTTCCCCGGAGGAATTTCCCAGCATGTTGTGGGCACATTTTGTGCTGCTGCGGTGAAGGACCTCTCTGCCATTCCCAGGGAGACCCTCACTTTGTCCTCGTGAGATTCAGGGAGCTTCTCTGGGGGCCTGAAGGCCGCCTATTCCCATGGTAGCTGCTTGAATCTTGGCAGGAAAACACCTGGCCAGGTTGGCAGGGAATCTGGGTCTCACACAGCATTGACCTCACAAGCTTCTGGGTTTGAGGCTGAGGAAAGGGCCAGTCATTTCTTTGCCTTTGGCCCCTTCTTGGTCTAGAGCTCTATTTTGGGAAAGGGTAACTGCTTGTCTAAGCCACAGCAGCTTTGGGGGCACAGGCCTCCATGACCAGGCTCCAGGGGGAAAAGGGAAGGAAACCACAGGAGGGTCTGGGGTGATGCAGCCTGCCAGGGAAGGAGGTAGGGCCCAAATTCTCCTGCTCTGACCGATGCCAATAGCCCACTTGAGGGCTAAGGACAGAGAGGGCCCAGGTGCCCATCTGTGCCCATCTGTGGTTCTGCTACTTTGCTGCACTCTCTCACCTTGCTTGAATTTTGCCTTTGATGCTCACGTCTCTTCATCTACCACCTATCACTGCCCCATCCCTGCCCCCTTCTCCTCAAAGATGAGAATACTTCTAACAACACCCCCCTTTCAGGATCACAAAACCCTGGACTGAAAGGGCCTTTGGGGGTGTAAAGAGCAAATGAAAAAACAGACTCCCCTTTACAGATGCAGAAACAGATGCCAGACTTTCATTTGGAGGGCCAGGTGAGCGTCTCTGTGGTCCTGGGGGCGTCATCGGGAGCCTCAGAAGAATGTTAGAACACCGGGCCACGCAGCCAGCTCAGCTCTCTGGGCCATCTGGGCGCCATCCCATGCATTTCCTACAGTCAGGCCTAGCTTCGGCGGGAGCCACACAGGACGGGGACCATGGTTGTATGTTTGAGGGGCACAGGGATGTTCAGAAGAGCAAGGAGGCTTGGAGAAGAAAGACCCTAAGATGAGATTATGGGAGAGGTTAGGGTGGGTAAGCAGATTTGAGAATCATCAGCATAAACGGTTGATGAGATCACCAAGTGAAGTAGTCTGGATGGAGAAGAGTAGAGCCCAGGACAGAGGGACACCTATGGTGAGAGGGAGTGATCTGGAGGGGCGTCCAGCCAAGGAGACAGGAGGAGCGGTCAGAGAGGGAGGAGGGGAGGGGGGGATCACCCAGGCCAAAGGCTGCAGAGAGGGCCAGGAGGACAGAGGGAAGTAAGAACAGTGTATCCCGTCTCTGGGACACCCACCTTCTCAGTGGGCACGGGAGGAAATAAAGAATGCTCACAATGGGCCCAGAAACAGAGGCGCACACTCCACCTGGTGAGGGAGTGACGGCTTCTCATTTAGATCCCACATCAGCATTTCAGGGCTGGGGAGCGTCTTGGCCTCCCAAGGAGCCGGCTTGTGCCCAAAGATGTCCTTTCCCCAACATGGAACTAGGAAATAGGCCAACGGGAATCTACCTCCAGGTGACCCTTGGGAATAGAAGATGGCAGAAAAACCCAAGGTGGCGCAAGAGCGCCCTCTAGGGACGACTGAGCGCAGCCTTCAGGAAGAGGGGGCAGGGGACAACCATCCTTTCACATAGCTTCAAATACCACATTTCTCTTGCTTTTGCAGGGGTTCTGGGGAGATACAGGGGAAGGAATGGTCAGAGACAGAGGAATCACATGACCGCCTGACCAGACAGGTGTAGTAGGCAAAATGAAAACACGGTGGGTGGTATGCCCACCTTGGGCTTCTAGATACTCTTACGATGAGGTGATTAGAGCCTGACATCGTACCTCACGGGTCTGTTTCTAAAATGGGCACATGGCCAGGAAGACAGGTTAAGAAAACAAACTGGAAAGGCAACGTAATGCTGAAAGCAGTGGGTTTGGTGCTGGGTACGTACTACCTAGATGACCCTTTCTCTGAACCTCAGTTTACCCGTGCCAGGAACCAGCCTTGGGAGTCAGAGATGACCCGTCGTCGTTCTCTTGCTCTCCGAATTGCAGCGGCATGGCCTCGCGGGCAGACCGCTGGCCTCCGGGCCAAGACTGCCTCGACTCCTGCTTTGGAGCGACAGGGCTGGGTGGTGCGGAGCAGCCGGACTCGGTTTTCTCAGCTGTCCCTGCCTCGCATGTAGGAAGGACCCAGGGAGATGTGCCCTCTACAAAGAGTCGGGCTTCCCTCTCCTCCAGGCAAAGCCCCCCTTGTCCGCCGCAGTAGACCTAGAGGAAGTAGCTGAGGGCAGAGGGACCCTAGTGTTGGCTGCTGCAGTCCCAAAGACCTGGGTTCAAGTCTTGTCTCTGGTGCTCCCTCCGCACCCTTCTCTTCTCTGAGGGCCCTTCTGGAGCACTGTCAGATGCACGAAGGAAAGCCCTCAGGGACCCCTCCCAACTGACCCCCGGCCACGCCCATGCCCCTCCTCCCACATGCTGTGTGGGAGGGCCAGTGTGCCCCGGGCCTTCCTAAACTCCGTGCTGGTGACTGCCAAGTCGTTGGAGCATGCAACAGAACGCTCAGAAAAGACTCTCTACAGACAAGTCCAAACTTTATTTAAAACTACATTTTAAGTTTAAAGTTACTAAACAAATCACAATGAAAAAATAAAAAAGAGAAGCAAGCCTCGAATCTTGGGAGGATCCCGCCGCTGCACCGTGCGTGCGACCTGCCTGAGCGGAGGAGGGGAGCGTCCCAGTTCTAAGGCAGCAGGTCACACACTGATGTACATTTTTATACAGATGGAAACATGTGTAGTTAGTGTGCCCTGGGAAGGTATGCACTGGTGGAGGGAGGGGGAGGCAGGCACCCGCGCGTCTCTCACGCGCTGTGGGCAGTCCAGTGAGGAGGGGCGGTGGCTCCCGCGGAGGCATTCCCGGGAAGCAGCGAAGCCCAAGGCTGGTCAGAGATCGCACGGAGGACTGGCCCCCTCACCAGGCTCCTTCAGGGTCTGAGGGTCCCCGGCCAATTCCTCACTGTGAGTCACGGCTAGTATTTCCTCAGATAAATGGTTACTCTGCTCCTCTGCTGCCATTTTCTTCATCAGATCTGCCTTTGGAGGTAGGAAAGGAAAAGGAGCGAGCCCCCAGGGATGGAACCAGAGGTCCGAGCAGCAGGGCCAGCAGCCACTGCCCGGCCTCCCCGCCCTGTGTGCACCCCCCGCCACCAGCCCCAGCGCTGGGGCCTCCAGGAAAGCTGAAAGCCAAGTACCTCAGAATAAACGGTCAGCTTCAGGGGCAAGTCCTCCACTCTGACAAAGTCCTCCTCATCAGACTTCTGACTTAAATGACCAGATCCTGCTTCCTGCTCAGAAGAAGCACAGGCCTGAAACCCAGCCACACCCCTGCCTGAGCTGCTCTTACCTGGATGCTTTCCTCCTCCAAAGCCCCTCTGGCTTTCACCCCACCTCCGCTCTCCTGCTGCTAAGGTCTTTCCTTCCTTGTACCCATGACTCTGAGGCTTTTTTAACTCATGGGCTCTGGTTCCCCCCTCTCTGTCCCCTCTTGGGCAGCAGCAAGGGAAACGTGCACGGATCACTGACCCAGCACAAGCTACCAAAATAACTTGGGAGGAACTGATAAGGAAGGTGAGGTGAAGCAGAACCCTCCCGTGACATTCAGGGTCTGGATTCCACTTGGCATGACCCAGTTTATTTCAGAGAGAAAGAGAGAGACAGCCCCCCCAGCGGGCGTTCCCGAGGACAGGCGATACATACATATTCATTGACTAGCACCGGCGATTCAGTGTCAGGACTTCCGGCCACCGAGCTCTCAGGAGTGTCAGAAGCAGATTTTGCCTGGGTGCTTCTGGGCACAGAGGCCTCAGCCTCGGCGATGGGTAAAGACGGCTTCGGCTCTTGTTGGGGCCCGCTGCCGGGCAGGGGGGACTCCACAGGGGGTGGGCCGAGGGACTGCTCTTTGTCCAAGATGTTAAGGTAGCACGGCATGGCGGGAGAGTCGTCGCGGGCCCCTGTCATCCAATCAGCCAACACAGCGTCAGCACCTTCATCCCTGTGCCAGGCACCAGGCTTGTACAGTAGGACGATGGGGATCAATGAACATTCACAGCCCGCGGGGTCTCCAAGTGAAAAGGTGCCCAACACTGCATGCATGGAAGTCACTAAAGGGACCTGAGAGATGACGCGGTCTCTCAAGGCCTGGAGTGTGCCTGGTTCCCTTGTTCTGCCCCAACACAGGACCCCAGCCTTGCCCTGGCGCAGCAGGGCCTAGAGGCGCATGCCGGCACAGGGCCAAACGCTCTCCTCCTCTTCACCGTTTTATTTCTCTACAAGGTTAAATATGTAAAAAAAAAAAACCAACCTATCGGGGCTTTCCACAGGGCTGCCTGTACAGACTAACCTGTTCATATTTACCACAAAAGACTTTCTAACCAAAGATCAGTAACAACCACAAATCAGATGGCGGTCACTCCAAATTTACATGAACCAAAAGCGCATCAGATTCATCTGAAACCCTCCAGGCTGTGCCCTGTGAGGGACGTGCCCAGGGACCACGGACAAGAGCGCGGGAACACCCGTGAGCCTCTCACCTCTCTGGCTGCTTTGGCCATTAGGAGGTTCCTGCTCACGTGGGAGCCCTTCTCTGTCCACGGGCTTCTCAAATTCACTCTGTAGAACCTAGGAGAAAACAGACAGTCACTGTGCAGATGGAAGGGGCGGTGTTTATGGCTGACTCGCAGCTGCCCCTCGCTTTCTACTGCACAACCATGGCAGCAGAGGAGGGCGAGGAGCTGTAGAGCCCCAGGGGCAGTGGGGAGAAACCAGCCCCAAAGTCAGGCTGACTCCTGTGCAGGTTACCACTGGGTCAGCTGCCAGATGACCAGGGCCCAGGGAGCTCCACAATGGGGCCCCAGAGCCAGGCTTGTTGGTCTGTGCCTGCCAGCTTTGGAGAGCCTTCCCACAAGACACAGGGAGCCCAGGCTTGTGGTGCACGCTGCTTTTTGACATGATGCTAGAAATTCCTAGGTCCCAAATGCAACCTGGCCCATCCCTGGCCTCTGCAGCTAATGGTTCACGGGAGGCTCTCTGAAGGAAGCGGGGGGCAATTCCTCCAACAGGGATTTCTTTCTTTCTTTGCTTTCTCTTTGCTCCTTACCCGGGTGCCTCGTGCCCACCCTGGACAAGCCTGCGGTCCCTTCCCTCTTCCCGGGCCAGAAGAGCATGCTTCTCTGTGGCCCTGCGCCAGCGAGGGACCAGCGCCTCATCCGGCTTTCTCCCCTGTGTGTGGTGCAGAGGCTGGCCTGCAGTCCAGGCTCGCCCCTGCAGGCCACCAGCCAGGCCTCGAGACCTTACCCCACCAGGGACAGCCCCTGCTGACCTGCAGGCTGAGGAGGGGGCCTGCTTGGCACATGAATGGGGACACGGTACCCCATGCCTAGCCCCTCGCATCATCCCTCCAGGGTTCGTGCACAATCATCTCTGCCCTGGTACCTGGTCCTGTTCATTCTCCTCGGTCGCTTCGTTGTTGGCCTGCAGGGACGTCTGGACATCCACAGGCCCTTCTTCAAACTCCTCAATCTCCTCGTCCTCATTCTCGTCTTCTCCGCTCCCATAGTTGGTCAAAGCCTGTGTTTCCGCTTTGGATAAATCTGAAGGGAAGAAGGCCCCGCCTGAGTCCCGCTGTCTCAGACACATCCGCCGCGGCTCCCTGAGCCCCCTCCCCACAACAGTTCACGGCCTCGTAGCAGGGGTCTGTCACTAGCTGAACAGACCACAGCAGAGGCCGCTGAGCCCGTGCACTTTCCTTTGACAAAGCTCTCTCCAGCCCTCTGTAGAACCCCATGATGCTGGGCCTGCAGCGGGCCCGAGGGGCCCCGCCTTGGAACCCAGCACCCTCATTTTAGAGGAGGAAGTACAGGCCCAGGGGGGTGGGGAAGGACTTGCCCCGTGGTCACATGGGGATGAGGCGAGATCTAACCCCGGAGCTAGCGCGCTCTTTCAGCCTCTGCAAGCCTGGAACAAACCCTAGCCACTTCTGGCTGTCCTACAACCCCCCACCAGATGCACGTGGGCCCTTCCCCGTCCGGACTCCAGGTGCTCCCTTCGCCTGCCCCGGGCTGCCTAGGACGCCACCGTGGCACAGAGCCATCCCCACCCCATTCCTCAGGGGGCACTGCGTTTTCTGGGACCCCAGTGCCAGACCAGCCACTTAGCCTGATGTGTCAAGGGATCCTATGAGGGTAGGCCAAACACCGAGATCTTCTGCACCCCAACGTGGTGTCCCCATCATATCAGAGGAGACTGACACCTCTGCTTTCATCTAAGTCCCTGATACAAACACTAAGCAGCCACACACAGACCCCAGGGCCGCCCACTGACAACCACTAGCGGCCACGGCCAGCCACACCACCACGTGGCACACACCTCCACCTTGTCCACTAGGACAGCATGAGACGGGCTCCACGCTTGGCTAAAACACAGTTAACTCTCTGCAGCTCCTCCCCATCAGCAGCTCTAGGGTAACCGGGCCAGCCAGGACTCTGTGACAGGGATTCCTCCCTTTTCTAGATGCTCCCTAACTCTTAACACTCTCTGTTCTAGAATTCAGCTGAGAAGCCAAGTCCAAGCACCATCATCTTCCAAAGATGGCGGACAGCGGCCCAACCACTGGCACATGAATGTTCTCCAGTGCATGTGGGAGCCTCCTCCCCTGCCCTGCCCTGCCCAGGGTGCCTCTGGCTCCCTCCAAAGGCACCTCTGAGAGGCAGCAGTGGCGTGCCCAGCCGCCCCACTTACTAATGGACACGGGGCATCCTTCACTCTCTTCATCGTCCTCCTGATCAGACACGTCAGACCTCGTGTTCTTAGAGGCCTCACCGCCATCGTACACCTCAGGCAGTGGTAGCAGCGGCGGAGGCTGTTTCACTGTCTCCGTCTCGTCCCTGTCCTAGCCGCAAGCACAAGGGAGGGATTAGCACCTGCGCTCCTTGGGACAGAGAAGTGGGGCCAAACAATGCTCAGGAGAAGAGGAGAGGCTACAGCGAAACAATTTTATGCAGCACTGCCCATCATTTCTGATCAGGAAGAAAGGAGAGAGGGAGTGGGGGCAGCGAGGTGGCTCAGTGGATAGAGCACCGGCCCTGGAGTCAGGAGGACCCGAGTTCAAATCTGGCCTCAGATACATGACACTCACTAGCTGTGTGACCCTGGGCAGTCACTTAACTCCACTGCCTAGCAAAATGCCAAAAAAATAAAAAATAAAATAAAGGAGGGAGCCATCAGAAAGGGCTCGTCAGCTAAGAAGGGATTCCGTGCTCAGACAGCGGGAAAACCTGCAAGCCCACCACCAACGGAACTACCGCTAACCCTAAGCATCGGTGGGCACTGATGCAGGAAGGCCACGGAATGGGCCAAAACCAAGGAGGGCTTCAACAACATACTTTGTCTTCATCATCCACTTGTCCAGCAGGCAAGCCGAGGTCTCCCTCAAGAACTCGTTTGGCCTGTGAGAAAACAATTCACGTTTTCAGTTCCTTTTATCCGACACGGTGAGGAAAGCACTGAGGAGCAGCTACTTGGCAACCAGCCGCTCAAATGTCCAGGGCGCTAACACGGGAGGGACGCAGCCAGAGTCCCAACGCTGGGCCCTGTGTGCTGCAGGGAGAAGGACCTTCTACTGACACAAAAGCACAGGCTGCAGGAGAACATTTCCTCAGCTGTATTTACGGAAGCACGACGGCAGGGTCAGCAAGTTTTCCTGTCATTTGGGTCAGGCTGCTGAGCCCGTACTGATGCTGCCAGACTTGGGCGGGCCTGGCCTGGCTGGGAATGGGACAGCAGTCAGGAAGTTCTGGGTTTCGAGTCCTGCCTCAGACACTTCCTGGCTGGGCAGGTCCTTCCTTCGTAGGTGGAGCAGGCAAAGCCATCCCCACCCCCATCTCAGGTGCCTCAAGTGCCCCCGAAGGGACATCTCAAGGTCAGGCAGGGCAGTCTGCCCTCGCCGATGCCCAGAGATGGCTGGGGCACTGAGCGGAGAGGCGATGAGCCCCAGAGCGGCCCAGGGATGCCTAAACCCAGGCCTTCCTGCCTGCACGATCACGCTCCTGCAACTGAGGTCACAGTTTCCCGACAGAAAAACTCAAGGATGGGGGAATCTCCAAAAGGCAGCCTGGCGTAGCACAACCCCTTCCCCCCCAGACTTGGGGACTAAAGTCAGGGGCCTTGCCAGCAAAAGGTCCTGGAAAGGGAAAAGACTTTGCCTCTTTCTGTCTTCCCAGAGCCTGGCACAGAGGAGGGGCTTAATAAATGGTGAGACTGACGAGTGACTGACAAAAATGGGTGGCTGTTATCTCCTCACCATCAACCAAAAAGGCTAACGGTTTTCAGAAATGCATGCCTCACTGTCCCAGGGTCCTGGCTTCTGAGCTGCTCCCTGGCCCATAGCTCCCTACAAAGGCATCTCTGAGAGGCAGCAGTGGGGCTCCCCAGCCACTCTACCTACTAATGGACACGGGCATCCTTCACTCTCTTGGCTTGTGCTAACTGGAGCCCCAGAGGCCCCCGCAGGGCTCGCCATGGGCAGCGGGGCCCTCAGGCCTGCTCCCCCCAACTCCCACCCTCCAAAGCAGGCTCGGCTGCAGCTCCTGACGACATTCAGAGCGGTCAGGGGCCGTTAAGACCCTGGACGCTGCAGATCGACAGAGGTCCTGCCCACGTGATCGTTCCACGCCAATCGATCTCCTGCCAGCGTCCACAGCTCGTCCACCCGCCTTCCCAAGAGCTCTGCCCGAGGCTTCCCACCTGGGGTCTCTCTGTATCCTCACAAAGGATAGCACAGAACACGGGCCAAGGGTAACGGGCCGATTCTCAAGGAGCCCAGGCACGTGCCAGGTACCTCGGCAGCCCCTCCCCACAGCTGGGATGGCCCACCCCCATTCATCTACCCAGCTGTGGAACTGGGCCTTGGGCACAGCTGTTCTAATCTAACACCTATCACCCTGTCTCTGGTCAGCCCCATACACACCACCCAGCCATGTCCCCGGCCTGGCCTCCCACATGAGTCTTCTTCTCCCCAGCTCCTTCCACGGTCTGCTCCGGGGACAGCAATCAAACCACTACCACTCCCTGTCCCCGTCTGCCTCGCTTCCCCTTAGGAAGGTGGAGAGGAACTCCCAGAATCCAGAGACTGTCATATCTGGCGTCTGTTCTCTCGGCATCGAGCACTGCTCAGCACGCAGTAAGTGCTGAGTAAATGTTATCCCATCCATCCATCCATCTACCCATCCATCCATCCATCCATCCATCCATCCACCCCTCTATCCATCCATCCACCCATCCACCCACCCATCCATCCATCCATCCATCCATCCATCCATCCATCCATCCATCCATCCATCCATCCATCCACCCACTCAGATGATCATGGAAAACGTCTCTGTGTCCTAGAAGCTGTTTCTAAAAACACACCACGACCATTTACCTCTTTTGCGTACGATGGCACCACGCCGGTGGTTTCCATTTTCCTCTTGCATCGCTGCTTGGCAGAGACGCTGTTACTGTCCAGATCCTGCATGAGCTTGAAGAAAGCCAGCTCATTAAACAACACTTCAGATATCTCCACCAGCAGGTCCTCGCCGCAGTCCTTCAGTTTTCGACCAGCAAATTTTGCCAGTGAATCCTGTTAAAAGACAAGTACCAGTCAAGTGAGGATGGCCAAAAGCAACTAGTACAGACAAAACATCCTGGGGAAAGGTGAAGGAGGTCTTTGAGAACAGCGCTTCTTAAACAGGGTCGGGACTCCATGGAGGCCTAAGAGGCACTGAAGGGGCCGCGGATGGAAAACGTTTAAGAAGCCCTGTTCTAGAATACTGGTAAGGCAGGCAGCTGTCATCCCTGGACCACATCAGAGTACGTCAGGCACTTCCCCACGACCACCACTGGGAGCAAGGTAAGCGCCTCAGGCATCATCAGGCTCTGATGATTGGGAGAGATGAGGTGACCGGTGCAGGGATCCGCAGGATGAGGGATGGGGTGGGACCTGCGTCTCATGGGCCCACTCAGTCTACCTTCAGTGACTCACCTCAGCTGAACTACCCAACAATGGGAGAAACAGGAGAACCCAGACGGTGCAGAGAGCCGCACACAGCATTTGCTCCTAACCTCAACACCATACCAAGTGTCTGCCTGACACCGCTAACCCTAAATGACGAGGATCCCCAGCAGGCACTTCCCCAAATGGCCAGCGCAACGGCTCAGGAAAAGAGATGGGGAGGATTCCAGGCCCCATCACGGTTCGCAAGCCTGAGTGACGCAGGCTGGGAGGTGACCTCCCCAACAACAGGCAGGTCTGGCAGCAGGAAGGTTTGGGGGCAAGACAACAGGTGCACTTTTGGACATCCTGAATCTGGCTGTCTAGATGAGAGCAGCCAGTGGTCAAGAGAGAGGTCAGGGCTGGACAAACCCATCAAAGATGGCAGGTGAATCCCCAAGTGAAGCCGTCTAGAGGGGGAAGAGACGAGGACCTCTAACAGAGCCTGCAGGGGGATTGACCAAAGACGACAGGGAAGAGTGGAACTGGGAGAGAGGATCAAGGAACAGAGAGTAGGAGGCTACTGAGAGGCCCAGGAGCCAGAACGCTGAGGCTAGAAGCCAGCGTGCCAAGAATTCAGAAGAGGGTGAAAGCAGCAGACATGGGGCGCTGACTTAAGGCCTCCTCCAGAAGTTTAGCCATGAAGAGGGGGAGAAAAATAGCCAGAGGGGCCAGAACAATCAGGGGACAGCCTTTGAGAAGGCGGGTTTATAGGCAGGCAGGGGGAGACTGAAGATGAATGGGAGTGATGCAGAAGGTGGGAAGGGGGTGAGAGGGCAGGAGAAGGCATCCAAGACAAGGAGGAGGGCAGAAGAGGAGCTCCATCTGCGCTAAACTGAGGCAAGGTTCTCAGCTGAAAGCAAGGGGGAGGGAGAAGGCATGGGACGTCTGGAAAAGAATGCAGGGAGAGGGTGTAGACCAGGGAAGTGGGGGAGGGGGTTGCTGGGTGGCAGGGAGGGCTGCGCCATCACGTCTCTGCAGCATACAGGTAAGACCAAGGGCGGCAGATGGTGGGAGCGATCGGAGGCCGGGCATCGGCAGGGCAAGGAAGGAAAGGACTCATGACAAGACGCCGTGGAGGGTCCAGACGAGGAAGGGAGGAGGGGGTGGCTGGTATGGGGCTAAAAGGCAGAGACTGGAGTGCCCATGCGTACAGAGATGGCGAATCGGTGGGTGACCCAAGATCGCGAGCACAACCACTGTCCTGTATGGCTGGGGTGGGGTGGGGGTTAGGATGTCTGAGAGAACAGCACTAGGATGGCAGCGGGTGAGCCCAAAGTGCCAACACGTGGTAGCTCTGGCCCTAGGAGAAGGCTGAATCAAGTGTGCCCTGTGGCTGGGTCCCCCTGCAGGGCAGAAGAGGATGACAGGAGAGCTGGTGGCTGTGGAGAGAGCTGGCCTGGAGGTCAAGAAGCCTGTGGTCGAGTCCCGTCCCTGGGGAGAGCTCAGGGCATGTGGGTGGCAGACGGTGAGTTCCTTACATGCTAATGAAATCATCTGTCCAGGTCCATACCCAACATGTATAAAAGAACAGAACTGTAATAAGTGGGTAAACAAAGAAAAGGCCTGCAGACGGGGCAGGGGAAATGAACGGCTGGGGTCTGATAGAGTTTATTAAAAACCAATGAAGACAATGAGGGGGGAGGGGGGAAGGGTCCCTTCCTTGCCAATGCCTCTGCTGAGGGAGCGCTGGATGCCAGCACAGCATTTCACTAAGCCGGGGCCCCTAAACCTCTGAGGGCAGCCAGCCTCGGACCACACCGGCCTACGGCGTCCGTCACTGTGATAAAACGCAATGCCGGACAGACCCCTTGCGGCAGAAGGCTGCCCGTCCCCATCCCCCTCGAGGGGAGGGGATGGGGAAGGGCAGCAGCACGAGGGAGATGAGACCCCCTGCGGGTGACGCTGCCGCAGGGAGCACAGTGGGGGGGCTCTCACCTGCAGTATGCTTCCCAGCTGCTTGTGAAAGAAATTCACAAATTCTTTGCTCTCGTCATTTTGCTGGGTCAGGGTCAGAACCATCCGTCTCACGGAGGTCAGCAGCTGCGAAGAGCACACCTCGTCCATGTGCTCCTAGAAAAGGGCAGGACGGAGCATGAGACCCCTGGTGCACACGGGACACACCGGACGCTGCTCAAGTCCACGGGCCCTGGCTGCAAACACTTCCTCCCTTTCCCCTCACGCCTCAAGCCCACTCTGTGCTCCCCACTTTCTCCCTCCTTCTCTCAAAGTGAAGTTAACTTCACCAGGGGATGGGATCCTAATAAAGCTGCCCCCAGGTCCTTGTGCTCAGCCACAATCCCAACATCCACGTGGCCCCAGGCAAGCAGGGCAAGCTCGACCAGGCCCCTCCTCTACCACCTAATCCTTGCCTTTTTCATATTCATAGTTTTCGTTGCCTGTAAGCAGCAGCACCACACTACAAATTGGCCTGTGTTTTCTTACTATGTCCCGCTTCTGAAGGGCGTCAATCCTCAATAAATGCCTGCACCTGGATTACAGGTGGTCTGACTGTGAATTCATTCGAGACACCCCCCCCCAACACCTTAAAACTGCAACACCCGGGTGATCTTTTTCTCAGTTAAAAACAGACATTCCTTACAGCTTTGTGCCTCTTCTCTCCTGACACTTGTTTCTGGAAAATCTCTACCGTTTTATCCCTAAGATTTGAGAGCACTAAGGTGGAGACTACCTTTGCTTGGGGCACGCCTCTCAGATGGACTAGGAAAAGTGAGTTGGAAGTGAAATGAAGGGACAGCCACCCTGGCTTCTAAGCCCTAAGAAGTGCCCAGGAGCCCCCTCTGGAACCCATCAGGCCCCTCCTCTAACGAGATCTGCGGTCTGCCTTTTATGGGAGCAGCTCAATAATATTGGCTGAATTCATGGGGAAAAAAACCTATTTTTGGTTCTATGTTCTCTTTCAGGTTGGCTCAATCACTAGTGTGCTGAATTTAAAATGATTCTCCATTATGAATGTACAGCAATTAAATCACACAATGGATTCAAATGGCTTTTTTTGTACACTGGTCTGGTGATGACGAATGAATTCTACCTGTTTTTAAATGGGAAAATATATTCTCTATCACAAACAAGCAGTCTGGAAATGAATGAAGAGGCAGCAGGTGTTAGGATCTGAAGCCAGAGACAGGACAGCCTGGATAACCTCCTCTGCCCACTCCCCCAGGGGAATAGGGTGAGGGACTGGAGGGCAGACCCCTAAGGACAGCTGCCCACCAGGCTTATTCATTCTCCTCTGCCCTGCTCAAATGTATCGGACAGATAGCAAGGCTCGGGGACTGCCGGTCTTTACCCATAACCAGCCTTGCTATCCCTGGCCGCTCACAATCAGTTCTGGGAAGGCCTTGTCTCTCGGGCCCTGTCATGAGCAGCTCTGTCTCTTGGAGTCCAACCAGCCCTGGGCCTACGTGTTCTCCTGGGGGATGACCACAGATTGAGTATGCCCCTATGGGACAGTCCTGTCACTGTTCCTGGAACCCCAGGTTGGACAGCTCAGCTCTAAATCAATAAACTTATCAATGTGGCAGGAGCATGATTTGTTTATAAGACAGAGATTTTGGGGGAGGGATAAAAAGGCCCCCAAGTCACCAGCTCTTCCTATTTTCACAAAGTTCAAAACCTGGTCCAAGGACTTGTTTCCCCCGCCCCTTCCCCTGATTTCCTTCAGATCAACTTTGTAGAAATGCGAGACTTTCATCATCCAGAGGAAATCCTTCTACTCAACGATGTCCCACATTTCACTGACAACTCACATGCTTACGTCTTGTTTTAACAGTGATCAGTGGGTCACCAACGCAAACCAACCAAAAAGCCCCCACCGCTCTTCAGCCACACCTACCATGGAGTCTAGATTTCACCTTTCCTCCCTGAGCCCTATGCTTTTTTTTTTTTACAGATACAAAGAGTCCCACAGTCTCCAGCCTCTAAGTACTAGCTGCTGGCACTTGAGTGTGGCAGGCCCACTCTGGCTCAGTCACATCGACTCTTCCCCAGGTCTTCTACTAATCTGGAAATCCTTTTTAACAGATGCCCTGTATATAAATAACACAGCAAGCCTCTCTCAAACACTTCACTAGAGAAAGCCACACGAAGGTGAAGAGAAGGCTTTCCTTTTCCAATGCCTATTAAAGAAACAAATGTATCTGACAGTAAGGCTATGAGAAAGATGGTTATCTGCTAGATTTTAGTGGGCAATTTCTACATGGACAAAAGCAAGGCAATGACTACCACTGTTTCCCATAATGCCGAGGAGCCCGAAGGCCCAAAACATCCCATTTCGCAAGCCTGGGGCTCTCCTGAGCATCATAAGCACAGCCAGCAGCCCCGGTCTCCTTACCTTTAGAAATGGAATGACCTCCTTCATAATGGCTTTGATCTGCCGGTCCAGCTGCTGAGTGTCGATCCGAGGACAAGGGACGGCAGCCACCTCTCCAAGACCTTGTGGCGTGCCCCGATTCTCCAGCTTTGTAGATTCTAGTTGAAAAAGACAAAGACTGCTGGATCAGTACGGCACTGGGCACTCTTTTACACACAGACACCACATCTCCTCCCCCGACACCCCAAGCCCAGTTCAGGCCTCCACCACCCGTCCTCTAGACCATTAACTCCTTGGAGCCGCCCCCCATCCATCTCCAGCCGCCTTCCCTGCACGTTTCCCTTTCTTCTGCTCTTTGCTGTATGACATCCACCCAGCTGGCACTGCGGGTCTTGTCTTGAGGACTTCCTACAGACCGGTGGTGGTGGGCCCCTCTTCACTTCCATCTCTTAAAGCCTTAGCCTCCTTCAAGGCTCAACAGGGCGCCATCTCCTGTGTGGAGGGTTTCCTAATCCTCCCATTTGTCACTGTTCTCCCTGTGGGGCATTTCCCCCTTCCTATCTGGAGCACACTAGCACATGCTGCCTTGTAAACAGGGGGGGACAGGGTCATTGTAGGTGTGTTTGTCGCACTACTGATAATCAGAAGCTAGGAATATCCTTGTGTCAGAAAAGTCCATAGGCTTAAGATGAGCTCCTGTCTCCCAAGGTCGTCATGAGGCTGAACAGTCCTCAGCCTGTGTTTATCCTCTGGCCCAGCACCCGGACGCAGCCTCTGAGCTCCAGGCTTACCTCTCTAGGAACCTCAGAGACCCTTCTCTGCCCTGCCCTCAGCTCCACTCTCTTTCCAGGGGCCTTTTCTGTGCTACTGGCCCCCTTGTGAGCGTAAGCTCCCAGAGGGCAGGAATCTCGCCAGCACTTAGCACTCATTCTCGTCCAACGCGCTTCATCCTCTATCTGGATGGACTGGACCACCTCTGTGGGCTGTCTACAACGTCTGGCTGTCTAGCAGAGGCTGCACAACACATGTGCTTTTTCCATTTGGTTTTCCCCTGTGGGGATCCTGGGTAACTTTGGGGAGAACGGCTTTGAGTGATAAGGTTGGAAGCCATCTTATCAGGGGCAAAATGGGAGAGAAGAAACGGAGGCCCTAGAACATATGTTGTTTTCTCTAAAAGTGTGACGACAGAAGGAAGGAGAGGCGTAGGCCAGGAACTTGAGAAGATGACTGGGTCATGTGAGGAGCTTTTAAGGATGAAGGACACCAAGGGACGGAGTGGGTGGGAGGAAAGTAGGGATGGGCTGCAATCTGCACTGGCAGAAGGAGTTACACACTGTTGGGATCACAGCGCCATCAGAGCGTTGCACTGAATTTTTAAAGTCATTTTCAAATGAAGGATGTTTTTTGTTTTATCGGCTTGACTCACCTACGTGTGCTTCGTTTCTATGAGAATCACTCAGTGCTTAGCTTCACCTATATCTCCTGCTTCTTAGGGTCAGTTTTTGTCACGACTGTGACTGTGGCTGGGTTTCGTCAGCAGGACGCCCTACAGTCTTACTCAAGTCATTCCCCAGGATATGGTCAGACAGTCAGGAATTTCCCGGCTGCGGGTCTGCCTGCCTCTAGGACCGAGCATCCGTGTAAACACCCCAGCATGGCCTCTCCCGCTTTCTTTCTCACACCTGCCCTGATGCCCAATGCCTCCTTCGGAGGCTCATCTGTTGTCCCCATTCTGCCTTTGAGGACAGGCAGGCGAGGCGCCGTATTTGGGTCCCGCCCACCCAAGGCCTGACCTTCTAAGGTGGAAGCGGTGGTGACGGAGGCAGCGGCGGCGGGGACAGCAGAGGCGGTGGCCCCAGCACTCTCCGCGCTCAGGTCACTTTCAGCCTCAATTTTCATTCGCTCATACTCTCTCATCCTAGCCAATGCTTGGTCCAAGTGGATGACGGTGTTGCCTGCATTGGAAACAGACACACGTTTAAAGGGCTGCCTTTTTCTATACCACACTTAGAAAATGCGCGGATAAAAATGATGCCTGAGCTGACTGAAATAAAAAAGGCTATCCCTCCAAAGAAACAAACAAAACTACGAATGAAAGAACAATGAATTAAGACAGCCAAGGAGAAACAGCCCTGTTGCTGCACGGAGCCTCTCAGGGCGACAGGCAGTTCACTCCTACCACCTGTTCATTCTGAAGCATGGGCCCTGGGGAGGGAGGCTCTCAGGGAAGTTCCCAACATCAGTGAAATCATGGGTCCAGTCTTGCCCATGCCTTCCTTTAAAAAAGAGAAAGAGAAAGAGAGAAAGAGAGAAAGAGAGAGAGAGAGAGAGAGAGAGAGAGAGAGAGAGAGAGAGAGAGAGAGAGAGAGAGAGAGAGAGAGAGAGATGGAGATGGAGGGGAGAGGGAGAAAGATGGAGATGGAGAGGGAGTGTGGGGGTGGAGAGGGACAGATGGAGATGGAGATGGAGGGGGGAAGGGGGGGAGAGAGGGAGAGAGACAGAGAGAGCGAGATATGGAGAGGGAGCAGGGGGAAGAGGGAGAGATGGAGATGGAGGGGGAGAGGGAGGAGAGGGAGAGAGAGGGGAAGAGAGGGAGAGAGAGACGGAGATGGGGGGAAGAGGGAGAGAGATAGAGATGGAGAGGGAGCGGGGGGAGGAGGGGTAGAGAGAGACAGAGATGGAGATGGGGAGGGGGAGAGACAGAAAGATGGTACAGGTGCCATGGAAAAAGAGGAGGTCCTCCAGAACACTGCCCTTGACCTTGGCAGCCCACATTGGAAACATGAGCATGATCACCCTGACCCACATGACACACGGCGTAGGTGGCAGGGGCTACTCGCATCTCCATTTATGGATCAAAGGGGAAGTAACTAGAGTCACGCAGCCGGTAAATCCAGGAGACAGACGGGATTCATACCCAGTTCTTCCCGAGTCCCAGTCCAGCCCCCTAGTGCCTGGGCACGATTGCTTCTGAAGAGGAGACCTGGCCTCCGAATGAGGTCTCTCAGCGTGCTCAGAACAGCTATTACATAGCACCTACTGTGTGCCAGGCACTGAGCTATGATATAGACACCAACATTATCTCACTCGATCCTCTCAACAGCCTTGGGAATCCCCTGGGTGCCATTAGGATCTCCACTTTACAGACAAGGTAACTGAGGCAAACAGGGGTAAGTGACTTGGCCAGGGTCATCCAGCCAGGTAACTGTCTGAGGTCAGATCTGAATCCCAGTCTTCCTGGCCCGGGCCTGGTGCTCTCTCCATGGCACCACCTGGTGGCCTTGGTAAAATAAAGCTAAGGGTCTCCCCATTTCCTAACTCTAGCCTTTCAGGACAGGCCCCAGGGCGTCCCTCAAAACCAGCGAGGCCCTGGGGGCCCACACCAGGTGATGGCATCCCTCCACATCGGGCCGCTCAATGCTGCCTCTACATGGTTCCTGGAGGGGCCGCCTTCCCCTCCAGACAGGGCGGCAGCCTCTCAGTAACCCTTCAGCTCAGTCTGCACCCTTTCCACGCACCAATGTTCTCTGCCTCCCACTCCCTCCTGTGGCAAAAGCCTGCTGCCTCGTCTCCCCGCCTCTAGTCCCTCCGTCTCCTGGCCACGTGGCCATGGTGACTGTCCTTCAGAGTAGCTCCCGCCTGTCCCTGCCCTGGCCCCTTCTCTCTCCTCACTTCTGCCTCTTGGAATGCCTAGCTTCCTGCAAAGCTCAGTTCGAAGGGTACTCCAGGTGGGGGAGGGGGTGGGTGGCTGATCACCTCTCCCCAGTTACCTCACATAGACTCAGTCTCTGCGTCTTCGTTTACCTGCTCCCCTTGATGGAATGGAAGCTCACGCGCACGAAGTATTTTGTTTGAGCCTATGTGCCGAGCACCTGGCCGAGTCACCAGCAGTGCTCGATAAAGCCTTAGTGTCTGACTCATTTCCTGTTCTCTCACAAGAGCTCTGAAACCCCCTAGAAGAAGCCAGTTTGGCTCTGGACCCAGCGCCCTAGGGACCTAACGAGTCTCTGGGAAAGCCGACACATTCAGCTCTGGGGAGGTGGTCACAGCTCCTTTGGGGCTCGGCTCTCCCTCCTCAGGACTGTGCCCTTCCCCTCCCACGGACATGCAGTCCAGGACTGGCCCACAGCACGGTGGTGGGGGCACATCGGCAAGTCCCTCCCCCTTTCTGGGCTGCAGGTTCTTCCAGAAATGGCACGTGACAGTGGAGAGACCGACTGAGGGCTGGGGCCAATCCCATGTGCGCCTGTGAGCCGGGGGACATCCCGCCAGACCAGTGAGGTTCCCGAGGCTCTGTCTGCCCAGGTGGCAAAACGAGGGGACAGACAGGACGGCCCAAGTCCAGGAAACACCAATGTAGGACCTTACCAAGATCATCGGTGGCAAAGGGCTCAAAGTTGGAAGATGTAGACAAGGTACTGGCATTATCGGCTTCATTCAGCTCACTGACTTTATGGGTTTCTCTTTCAAAATTCTTCTCAAAAGTTTCCTAAGATACAAAACAAAGAAAAACAAAAGGTTCTTATTTCCAGAGGAACATAACAGTTAATGGTAAGCATCCAGCCCAGAAACTGAGCATTTATAGACTCAGGCTTGAGAAGGAGTCTTTTAGCTTTAAATCTGTAATAACCCAGTAACTCAAGGTCTGCGCCTCTCCACTGCTGCTTTCCAATTCCTCTGGGACACGTGAAACTTAAAAAAGCATCTGAACCTCCTGCAACAGAAACTCATTCATCCCAATGGATTAACTTGCTCATGGAGTCGGGATGGAAGGATTATTTCCTACAAAAAAGACTTCAGGGCTACAAGAAGATATTTGGGAAGATCAGAAGTCACACGTCACCTCATGGAAGGTGAGAATGTAGCCGCGCCTTAAAGGCAGCCAGGAGGTGGAAATGACAAAGGAGGGTGTTGCTGCGGAGACAGAGGCCAGTCAAGGCTGGAGAGGAGGGGGGCCAGGATGTGGAGGGGGGTCGGAGGTAACAGGAAGCTCAGGACAGCGACAGGGCCTGATGTGTGCTCCACAGTGGATGCTGGCCCGGAGTGACCAGCAGGCCGGCAGCAGTGGCAGAGGAGAGGACGGGGCAGAATGGAAGTCTTGAGGACAGACTGCAGAGAGAGGTGCCTGAGGAGGACAGCTGGTTCCAGAGAAAAGCTCCTGCAAGCGCCAGAGACTGGAAGGATGCTGGTAGCTCCCACAAAAACAGGCAAGTTGGGGAAGGGGGAAGGTCTATGAGAGGTCAGCTCAAGATGAGAGAACAGGGTCGGGGGAGAGGCTGGGGCTGGACAGGTACCTCTGAGCCTCTTTTTCAGACCGCCCCTTGACACAAGGCCTAGGACAGAGCCCTGGGGGAGGACCCAGTCAAGGAGCAGAGAAGGAGCGGTCAGAGAGGGAGGAGGAGAACCAGGACAGCGCGATCCAGAGTCCAAGGCTACAAAGGGCATGCGCTCCAGGATGAGAACTGGATTCGACAACTACAAGGTCCCTGGAACTTTGCAGAGAGCCAGTCTGGCAGAATGATGAGGTCAGAGGCCAGACAGCAAGGGCTTTGAAGGGAACACAGGAGGAGAGGATAAGGCACTAACTAGATGGCCTTCTCAGGGTTTAGCCAAGAAGGAAGCAGCTACGAACCACAGCCAGAAGGGATGCGTGGGTCGAGTCGGAGTTTTCTGAGGACGGAGGAGCCAAGGACGGGTTTGTAGGCAACAGGGAAGCCAGGAAAGCCAGGGAAGCCGAAGCGAGCAGGGGATGGTGTGTCAGAGGAGACAGGACGGACCGGTCACCTGTGCACCGCACTCCGGGTGGCGACAGGGAGGGACTGGGCTCCAGGCATGAAAGATGCAGACAGGCCTGTTTGGCTATATGTTGCTTTATGCAGGAGGGGGGCAATGAAGCAGGTTGGGGCTGGCCTGAGTGGCACCCCAGAAGCGAAACAAGCACGGGAGTTTAAATTTTAGACTAGAGCATGGCTCCTTTTGTGCCGTGGACCCCTCTGGCAGGAGCCCCATTCTCAGAAGCCCAGTTTTAAATGCATGTGATACATAGGAATACGAGGGAATCTAAGTGCACTGAAGTGCAGGTACCAAAATACAATTTTTAAAAACCACCCATATTCATGGGCCCCAGCGGCAACAGGACCCTCCTGGCGTCAGCTGTGTCCATGGGTGAGCCACCTGGATCTGTGCTTAAGCCAAGTTCCTTTGGCAGAAGTGGGAAGGACATGGAGAACGGGCCAAGGAGGGGCCTTTCCAGTTATCTGGGTGGAAGTCAATGAGGGCCCAAGAGTGCCAGATGTCAGACACGCTGGAAGTACAATGGCTGGGCAGCTGAGAGGTGGCAGGCAGTGAGAAGCCCGGGACAATCGCTGGGAGGATGACAATGCCTTCATCTGGAATGGCAGTAAACCTCTTAGAAACTTATGGGGACAGGACAGAGGGAGTAAAGGGCTTTGGACAGAGCAATATGCAGGTAGAGAGGGTAGTATGGATGATGACGGATGAAGTCAGGTGGGAGAGAACAATGTCGTGACAACTGAGAAAAGGGAGGGCGGAGAATTCGAAATGGAGCAGGGGTCAAGAAGAAGGACAGATCAGATTCAGCATTTCAGAGATTATTCAGATACAGGAGGAAGTCTTAGAAATGTGAAAATAAACCGTATCAATCAAATCTATTTTTAAAACAGAAATCATCAGTGACTTTGTTGCGAACCAGACCACAGAGGCTGAGGAGAGGAAGTGGAGGCAACCAGGAGAAAAAGGTCAAGGCACATGGCAGACAAGACAGCAGGCTCTCGTGAAGGTTTTGTGAGGGTGGTTTTGGCAGCTGGCCATAGGACAGGTGTGAAGAGCACTTTCCCCATGGCGCCCCATCTGGGTCATCCCTCCCTCCATTTTAGAGGAGGCCCAGCAACACACGGGGCGTGAGCCAGATGGCAGCAAGGCTGCGCTGCGCACAGGCCTCAGCTTCACTCTTTCTGTGGCGATGGCCCAAGATGCAGGGGTGGCCCTGGCATCTTCCACGTCTGACCCAGCTCTAAGTGCTCCATAGCACCTACTTCAGCCACCTTCATGGCTGCTGAATGGTCCTCACCCGCCCATTCCACTGCGGGAAGTCTTCACACGCTTGGGGAAGACACCCACCTCAGTTACTCTCAGCCTGGGTTAGCCCATCTGCCAAGATGGTTTTGTGGGGGTGTGGTTGCTATGCATGCTCCAGCTTCTTGGAGCTAGATGGCACAAGTAGTTAGAGCGCTGGGCCTGCAGTCAGGAAGACCCAAGTTTAAAACCGCCTCAGATGGGAGACTTAACCTCATCTGCTTCAGTTTCCTCATCTGTCAAATGAGCTGGAGAAGGAAATGGCAAACCACTCCAGTATCTCTGCCAAGAAAACCCCAAATGGGGTCAGAAAGAGTTGGACGTAACTAAAAACAACTAAACAATAATAACAAGAAAGTAGCGAGGGATGGAGGGATTGGAGGTGGCAGTGAGGGTGAAGAACAGGCTTAAGGACAGTGAGGCCGAAGGGCAGATAACCTGACAGATGAGGACAGCTGATAAAACAGGACGACCAGATCAATTCTTCTCCTAGCCAACTATGTTCCACTTCTCTGCCCCAAGACTCTCAAGTGCTTGAGAAACACGTATTTGCTCTGTTCAAGCTAGCGTTCAATGCGGTGCTGAGTGCGTAATCTATAATCGAAGACCTAGGACAGCTGCCTTGGAAGACAGAAGGCTGATTTTAGGAATAGTAATGCCAATTAGCACATTGAGAGACCTTCTGTGGTAGTGGATACAGCCAGGCTTGAGGTCAACAACACTAGGGCTGAAGATCTACCCCTCTAACACACTTCAGAGGTAGCTCTATGTTCCTCTGGGCAAGGCACCTGCCAGCTCAACGTGCCTGCTCTGTGCTCATCTCATTAATCCCAGAATATCATGCCTGCAGTTCCTCACAGGCCTGGTCTGTGGTTCCAAGGAGGCTGGTACTTCTGGTACATAGGTCATCACTGGAAATTCTTGGCAGCTTATTTGCTTCTCCATCTCACAGGGGTCCAAAGTCACCCAGCCTAACTCGGAGAATATCTGCATTAAGAAGATGGATCTTTCTGCTGGAAAGCTCTGTGGGCCTGCTCAAAGCACACCATGGGCTCAAACGCTGGCATCCAGCTCTCTTCCTTTTCTTTGTCTCTGGGGTCCGCCGGTGTGTCGGGGCCTATTCTAGAGACATGTACAAATGCACAGCCTCAGCATGGGCCTATAGCTGCCTCTGAGGCTGAACTCCATACTGGTCTTCCTGCACTAAGAGGTCCAGCCAACCTGGCCTCCTCCTTGTCCTTCACAAGCCCCGATCCTCCGTCTCCTCTGTGTTTTTGCACTAGCCGCCCCTGGCCAGCCTAGGATGCACCCGCTTCTCACGCGGGTCTGTTCTTCCTTGAAGATGAAGCCCAAGAGCCATCTTCTGCACCTACTCCTGTTCCTCCCTCAATGCTTGTGCCTTCCCTCCTAAACTATCCTGCAGTAAACCATGATGTAAATCCTGGGCTTGTTCCTACTGACGCCGACGTTTCCTTGCCATCCGCCCGTCTTAGAATGGATACCCCTCTTTAGTACAGGATGCTTCTAGCTTTGTACGGCCTTGCCTGGTACCTGGCACACAGCAGGCACTACATAAGCCCTCCTTCATTGGCTGCCTGGTCTCTGAAGGCTCCATCACGGGCTCCCACTTCATGCTGGGAATGTCCTCCTTCCATCTGGATCTCCACCTTCCTTGATGCTGATGGTCTGGGTCACTGAAGGGGGTTCTACTGGCAACTGTCTTGACCAAAGGACCTTCCATGGTTTTAACAAAGGTACGGGAGACCCCTGTTGAGGGCAAATGCTTCCAGCTACTCTCCTTGCCTCTGAAAAGGAAGGTGCTTCATTGCAGCGAAACTAAACTACGGGGTACAAAGCACCACGTGCACCACAGCCGCCGAGTCCTGGGGACACCACCTCTGTGCCAGCTTACTGATTGTCTCTGGCAGCCAGTGCCCCTAGAGAAGGCCTGTGAAACAGCATCTCTGAGTCAATTTTTTTTTTTGGCAAAGTGACTTGCCCAGGGTCACACAGCTAGTAAGGGTCAAGTGTCTGGTCTGAGACCAGATTTGAACTCAGGTCCTCCTGACTCCAGGGCCAGTGCTCTATCCACTTCACCACCTACCTGCCCCTCCAGTTGTTTTAATCCAATCTATAAACTGAGTAGACTTTGTACTCACTGTACCTTTCAAAGAGCTGTGGGACCACAAGGGGGGGGGGGTCAGCCATGGAGATCCCTGCACACCTCTGCCCACACTCCCAGAAAAAAATCCCCTCCACACTGGCTGTTTTCAGGCAGACTCTGTAAAGACTAGAGGCAAGGTCGGTTTTGACACTCTCTTTTTTGCATAAGAACTGTGGGGTTCTCCTTTATCCTTTTGGAATCTTCCTCCTCCCCGAGAAATCACATAAAACAGGGATTCATGGTAGTGGATGGTGAACATGGATGAGAGAAACACGACATCTTTCCTTCCACCAGCTAACTGTAGCATGGTATTTCCTTCAATTGTGAGTGTAAAAAAATAAATAAAAACCAAACCCCTTACCCGGAGGAGGGCTCCACAGGTTTCACGAGACTGCCCCAAGGGTCCAGGCCACAGGAGAGGTGAAGAATCCCTGATGCAAAGTGATCCCTCAAAGCTTCCACTGGTGAGTACTTGCCTGGTCTAGACACTCTTTCCCAGATCACTCTTTAACCCCTTTCTTTCCAAACACATCCCTCCCTACATTCAGTCACTCCTTGTAACACACCCAAACCAAAAGCCAAACTAAGCTGACTCAGTTTAGCAGCTACATGTAAAACCAGATGAGGCACATCTCTGTGTGGCTACTCCAAACCAGAACTCCCCAGCATCAGCACATCCTTCCATTTCCCCTCCTCTGTTTCCTCACTGTTTCTGTCCTTCTAGTCGTCCACATTTGCAATCTCAGAGTCACTCTCCACATACCTACCATGCCCAATTAACTGGCAAGTCTCATGGATTCTCTCCACCTCATTTCTCTTCAACTTTCCCAGAAGCTCTGCTCACTCATTATCTTGGCAGACGCCTTTTGCAATTCTCACCTGGATTATCCCCCTAGCTTCCTCTTCACTGGTCTCGCTGATTCAAGGCTACCAATTATGTGCATTTACACGCCCTTTACCACATATGCCTTATTACCATGTTGCATGGTAAGTGTTATTAAAAAAGGACAGATCATAAATTTGTTTACAAAGTAAATACTAGACATTCAATTGAATAAGCATTTATTACAAGGCTGTGCACAGAGTACTGTGTTAAGCACTGGGGGAAAGCCAGAATACATGGTTCCTGCTCTCACACGGTATACAGTAGGGTAGTGAGAGATGAAACTTCCTAGATGAAGTAACATCTTGGAGAAGACAGGAACTCCTTCTGCCTCAGAAGGTGGTTCCCCCCAAAATGCTGCCCTGGCGATGATGAAGTTCCTAACTCTAAGCGATGCCTTTGGGCTTGGCTTTGAAGAGAGGCCAGACAGACACACACTTGTTTGCCCAGAGGGATGCAACTCAGAAGCCCTTTTCAGGGAATGTCATGGCCCAAGGAGGGAGGCAGAGCTGGTTTGGCATTTCTTGAGGCCATGCTGGGAAATCCAGAAACGCCAACTGGCAGCCAGAGAGCAATGAGGACGTTCCTGACCTACCAAGGAATTTCTGGACTAAACCAAGAACCTGGGCCAAGCTTTGAGTTGCAGGAGTCAGAACAAGGAAGCAAGAAATCTCAGTGCCATGATAAGGAGAAGCAAACACAGATGTGGTTCCTGGATACTGTGAATTATGTGGTCAGACTCTGTAGGCCTGGACATGGGATTCTCTGGTATCCCTGGATTCTTTCCTTGTGTTGTATGGAGGAGGCTACTTAAAACAGGTTATAAGTATGTAGGGCAGGCCGTATGTAGAGCTGCCCAGAAAAAGGAGACTTCCCTGGAGGCTAAGGTGAATGGTCTCTATGACGACCTTTATTAGACGAAATAAAGGGGAGGTGGGGGAAGAAGATAATTCTCAGTGTTCTTCCTTGGAGGGGAGAGGTATCAGGGCAGGCTTCCTGAAGGACGCTGCATTTGGACTACAAAGGATAGGGTAAGAATTTAACAGGGATAAGGAAAAGCAGGAATGAAAGTGTGGGACACAAGAGCATAAGTGTTCTGGGGCAGACAGCTGCCCAAATTGGCTGGCATGAGGAGGCCATAGAGAGTAGAAAAGGATGAAGATGGAAAGAGCAGCTGGTAACAGACCCTGAATACAACAAAGGAACTTAGTTTTAACTCAGTGGACAAGAGAGAACCATGGAAGATTTCTGGGCCGGGATTGGACATCGACAGATCTACGTATAAGCAAACTAAGTCTGCCAGTGGGATGAGAGTCAGATTGTACAGGTGAGTAAGGGAGAGAAGGTAAGAAGCATAGGTGGAAATACTTTAAGATTTTATATATACTGTGCATATGGCAACGTTCAACCAAAACTTTCTGTTGAAATCTTGGAAATAACGATTGCTAGGAAAAGGAAACCAGCCCCACTGGCCTCCCTGTTCCTCCCACATGACGTCCCATCTCGTCTCCATTTTTGCTTTTGCACTAACTCTGCCTCTCCAGCATCACCTTCTACATGATGCCCTTCCCCAGTCTCCCTGCTATGAAGGTCCTCCCCCCTGAGATTTATCTTAGATCCCTTTCATGTAAACCTGCAGATGTATGTGTGGTGCCCCCATTAGAACATAAAGGGCCCAAGGACAGGGACTTTCACTTTTGCCTTTCTATCCCTAGAGGCTGGTATGTTTTATCATGCTTGCTGAGGGCCCACATGGTCCACCTTGAGCATGACCACTGCAGAAATGTCTGTATGAGAGTAGCTGCTGGGGTCCTCCCCTACACTTCTGGTTCTCTTTGCCTGATTACACGCTGATTGCACACTGTGGTGCTGGGTCCAGATCACTGGTCTGGCTGGCAGCTAGCATCCATTGGTGAGCCAGCCAGGGACCGTCCCCCTCAATACTACTGGGTCAATGGACGTAACCTCCAGAGGTAATTTCAGTTCTTAACTGTTGACAAGTCCCCTTCTCACAAGTGAATGACTGCAAATCAATAAGGGACTCCAAATTCATGCTAAAAGGGGAAATGCACTTCCACAGTCTAATTACATCTAACATAAAACAACATACATTTGAGTGTATTCACAAAAAGAAGTAAAATAAGTAGGTGCCAATTTGCTGTAGAATGAAAACACACCTACATCTTATGAAACATCAATAGCTTACGTCATCGGTAGTGGCAAGGCTTTCACTGGGAGTAAGTTCTGAGTTCGAGGCTATCCAAGTAGTAGAATTCACTGATTTGGCATTTTCACCTCCTTTTTCATTAGTCTCAGAAATATGCCTGTTGACTATGTCCTAGACAAAGAAATAAGGCAGTTAATTACTTAAATAATCATTAAAAACCTATTATTAACAAACAATAACTTTAATGATAATTTTTCAGCATGTCACATTTAAATGTACTCGCCCTTTTAAAATGGAGACAATAGAGGCAATATAAGGTATGAAGTCACCTTTTCAGAAGAGAATTTACACTAAGGGCCATGATGTGCAGCTATAGCAGTAAAGTAGCCACAAAGTACAGAGAACAGCAAGAGAAGACCGCTGGTCCACAACGATGCCCCCGTGCAGACACAGAGAGAAATGAGGGCCCCGGCTGAGGGGAGTCGAGGCCCTTCTTTACCTGCAGTGCATACAGTGCCCTCTGTCTCAAATAGTCTGTGTTAAGTAGCTGGAGTTCATGGAAAAGCTCAATGAGAAAATGAGGACGGGATTCGTTTTGAGAAATCAACGTTGCTACTTCAGAATAAATAGTATCTCTCAAAGCTTCAAACATAGAAAAATCACTTCCAGTTTCTGGAAGACAGAAAAGATTAGACAATCAAAACGGATGAACTGCTGGGTGCTTCCTCCTAGTGACTATGACAGCGCTAGTCTTCCAGGCCCTTCCTGTCCTCCCAAGCCACAAGTTACTGAGGCTGGGGTGTTTTCAGGACGAAGCGAGTGCTGTCTAGTGTCTCTTCTTCCACACGGTGCTTCAGGCCTGCAACATAGCCTCACAAACTCACTTTCCTCCACATTTCTGTGTCTTTTCTAACAAAATTTAATGGAAACTTTACTTAGTACATCCATGAGATGAGATATACTGTTTCCTGCAGGTCTTCCCAAAGAGGTGGTGACAGAACCACACACACACCAGCTCTTCCTGGAAAGGCCCACAAGGTGATTCCTAAAGTCACAGAATTTTGGAGCTGGAACAGCTCCTTTTAAATCAGTGGGAACTAAGTGACTTGACCAAGGTCACACAATGAGCTCCTCTGAAATACACACTCTGGAAAATTCAGTAAGCAAAAAGTCAAGGTTCTGTATTGTACGTTCTCTGCTTCTCTACACACACACACACACACACACACACACACGTATGCACATGACACAAAATAAATGGCTTATAGCGTCTTATCCATTAGTGACATCTTTTTATCTCAGTAAATGGTTACTTTCTATACTAATGTACACGTCCCATTAGAGGAGGGGTAGGGGGTGTGTGTGTGTGGGGGGGGTGTGTGTGAGGGCCTGTGTAGCTGACCCCTCTTAGACTGGGAATGCTGGGGGTCACGACAGGTGAGGAATGCAGTCTGCTGCTTCCTGGAGTGACCTTCTGAATGCTGCAGATGCTGTTTACCTGTAAGTGTCCCTAAGATGTTCAATTTCTGGCTTCCACAGGCTCTGCTTGCTTCCCCTTCCCCACTCTTAAAAATGTTAACCCTCCTGTTTCTTCCTCACTGATTGTTGCTATAGAACTACAATAGTATGAAAAGACAGTAAGTCTCCAGTTTAAATACAAGAATGACACTTCAGAAAACTCTCTGAAAGCCTGTATAATTTGAAACTCTGTATAATCAGACTGTCATTGACTTCCATGGGAGATATTACTAATTAAAAACTCAGCAAAGTCTAGGATTTTGGCCTCTCCAAGGAGCAGCAACAAGGCAAATACAAGGAATCAGGAATAACTCTAAATTCTAATTTATGGAAAATGGTGCTTTAAATATCTCATGACTACATGCTAAATAACTCAAAAAGCCAAACATTATCTGCTCCAAATGTCAAGCTGAAAATCACACACCTGCGTGCGTGCACACAGAAATGCATACTTGTAAGGAGACCCACACACACATTCCCATACACGTGTATAGACACACACACACCCACACTGCCCTACCAAGTAAAAGTTGACAATAGTAACTGAAATTATAAAATTATCAGATCCCTCAAACAGTGGGTTTTTTTGTTTGTTTAAACAATTTTTTTAGTCAAATACTCGCCCACAGATACATTAAACTGCAACTAAAACAGAGTAAATTGACAGCACTAAGTCTGGGATGAGAAATTCGGACAGAGGCTTTTCTTCAGAAATTGAAACTAAGCGGTTGGTGCATTACCTGGTGCTTCCTTGCATGTATTTCTGTTAGACTGCTGAAGTATTCTCCTAGCATGTGCTGTAGGGAAAGGGGAAGGGACAGATACAACGATGAACACAAAATGTGGATGAGTAGTAAACACAGGGTTTATCTATGAGTCACTGGAATTTAAAAACAAACCCAAACTCTCTTTCAAGTTGTTTTTGAGACCAAAGGAGGAGTTTTTTTTATAGTTTTACACTCTGAATTCTGTTACCGTGTGAAGGCACACCCCATCACAAAAGCCCCCAAAGATCCACCACAGAAAATGATGACTGACCTGACATGAACACCAGCAAGTGTGACTCTACCTTCTGCATTCAGGGTGGGCACGAGGCAGCCTGTGGCCTAGGCCAAAGGAAGAGGAAACCTTCCCTCTGTCCACCTGAAACCCTCTGCTCTGGTTGGCCCGGCTGCCTCTGGAGGTCATGTAAGGACACTGCAGCCCAGGCCCACTCAGGGGAACCATGGGATGTGGGAGCTGGAAGGCCTCTAGTTTAAGCCCCACAGGTGTGGGCAGGAGTTCGTCACCTGACTCTGCTTGATGCCTTCTCAGGAGGGGGAAGCCACCACTTCCCTTGGGGAGCTCACTCCTGCTCCCGACAGTTCTAAGGGTTTGCAAGTGTTCCTTACCTCTCAACTTCTTAAAAACCACCCCCTTTAGTCTTGGTTCTGTTCTCTGGGATCAAGCAGAGCAATCTGCCCCACTCATGCTGGGAAGCTCTTCAAACCCCTAAAGACAGCATTTAGGTACCCACAATTCAAGCACCCCTGATTCAGCTGCACTGCACAGGGTCCTCCTCATGGGGGTCTGGCCAGTTCTGCGGAGGATAGCAGGATACGCCCCCGGCCCTAGGCTCTGTGCCTCACCCAAGGCAGCACGGGCCTGCACCAGTTTGCCTGATGGACACATCCGGGGATGCCTAGGAAGCTCACGGCACAGCCACGTCCTCAGGTGTTTCTGCAAATGCTCTAGCCACCTCTTCCCCATCTCGTACTTTATGTCAGTTCTCTTACATAAAATGCAGGCCGTGCTCACAATTTTATAGCCCTTGAGGGAGGGAGTAATATATCATAATAGATCGATTTTAATTGAGGAACCCATCCTTTTGTGGAGGTGGGGAGGCCCACAGGTGCAACTGACTGATTGACATGTTTTGGACTTCTTCAATGAACGGATCAGCTGTGTGGATTTTTTTTTTTGATGCTCTCAAAAAAAAACACTACTAGTCACATGGGAGGACTTTCTGAGAGGGGGAAGGGATAAATGGAATACTGTGGTGACGGAAGATACAAAAGAATGTCAGCAAAATTTATTTAAAAGAAGTTAGTGGAGGGATGGAGGTTGGTGGTAAGAGGACTACATCATGGACCACTTGGACCAAAACAGGAAATAGATAAGGAGTCTGGGAAACATTACTATCAGCCTGACCCGGAAGGAGCTCCCCTTCAGCCAGACATCTGCCTGAGCTCTTTGCAGTGTGATGTAGAATAGCTCATCATCCCGAGTGTAATGATCTAACCCTTCCTAAGGCAGAGGAAGAAATAAGGCCCCCACCCCCCGATTCTGGACTTGATTCTTATCAACAAGGAGGGGCTGGCCGCCAGGGTAGAAGTGGCAGCCACCTAGGGAGGAAAACAACTGCATGGAAAGCTAGACACGGCTCACACAGAGAGACTTAACACTTCCTACACATCAGGAAAGCAGATCTGAGACACTTCAGGGAAAACACAGGAGGATCTTGCCTGTGACCCATGCTGACTGTATGACCCCAACAAGTCACATGTAACATCAGAGGCCTGACGCAACTTTCCAAGGCCCTAAGGTAAAGAGAAGGGACTAATGTGCTCTGGTAAAGGGAATTTCCTTCCCTGAGAGTTCCCTAGGCCAGAGAGCTCACACACACTGAGGAGGGTAAAGAGGAGAAGCCCAGGAGGGAGAGGATGACAGACTGGAGAGCCCAGGCAGAGCTGGCACCTGGGAGGACACGAAAGAAGCTGCCCTTGAGGAGCCCCAGTCACCAGGACTAGACGAAGCACAACTAGTCAGGAGAAGAGAGAGCAGTGGATGCTGACTCGTGTCGTCAGAGATCACGCATGGGAAGACTCGACTTCCTCCGGGGGATCAGAACTGGCCTTAAGCACGAGGGCCATTCCTCCTGGGGAGAAGGGCCGCTTCTCTTCCTTACTCAGCTCTGGGGCTGAGCACACAGCAGGCACTTCACAAATGCTCACTGAGCGGATGGCTCGAATGCTTTTGCCAAGAAGTCCAGAGCGCCTACTCTCCCCACTGTGATCTGACACAATACTAGAAAGGCTGGCTACAGAAATAAAAGCAGAGAGAATTCAAAGGTATAAACAGTGGTCAAAAAAAGACAGTGTTATCTGATGGCAGATAACCTGGTGGTTTACTTAGAAAACTCCAGAGAATCAGTAAAGAAACTAAGAAAAAGGGCAATAACTTCAGAGAAGTAGCAGGATGTAAAACAACCCTCCAATACGCAATACAAGCAGTGTTTCTAGACAGTACTATATAAAAAACTCTAGAAAATGCTTGGAAACCCTGTATTCAAAATCACTACAAAGCCCATAAAATATTGGAGTTGCTCGGCCAAGACAAACTCATAAAACTCATCAAACAACTATAAAACGCTGTCTACGGAACCACAAGAGGCCTGCTCCTGAGAGAGTCATTGTTCACATGTGGCCCTGCTGACACAAAAGAAATGAGGCTATGTGATGCGTGGCCTACAACAAGCGTTTAATCAACACTTCATTCATTCATTCATTCATTCATTCATTCATTCATTCATTCCCACAGACACCAATCTAGCGCTACATCCAACTACCAAGGGTGACTTTATAGAACTAAACAAGCAAATCTGAAAATTCACTTGGAGAAACAAAAACATCTAGAATCTTGAGGAGAAAAATGGAGGGGGGAAAAAAGGCAGGAAAGAAGGGAGCCTAGCATTAGGGAGACCTAACATCAACAGATCTAAAACCAAATTATGTGACACAATACGCATCAAAACAAGCTGAGCTAAATAAAAAACTGTGTCAGGGGAACAGCTTAGACTACCAAGACCCAGAAGGACTAGAAAACAAAATACTGTGAAGATTCTGAGTCTGATAAACAAGGAATGGAAATAGAAAGCAGCCTGGCAGAAAGCAGCCCTAGACCAACACCCTACACCACTCCCATTGAGCCACGCACCTGTAAGCACCATTAAGCACCTACCAAGTGCCAGGTGCTGAGACACAAAAACAAAGAATAACAACCCACAAAGAGTTTACATTCTAATGGGGGGGGGGGAAGGCAGTTCAATAGAGATAAATGTAAAGTCTGACACCTTGGTTCAAAACATCAATGTCAGAAATACAAGATGCTGAAGGCAGGGCTGGAAAGCAATTCATGGGAAAAAGATCTGGGGGTTCAACATGGGCCATGGTGTGACATAGTGGCTGACCAGCGACTCTGTTTGAGGCTCAAAGCGCAAGGAGTGTCCCTGCTTGGGGAGGTCAGCAGGCAGGGGCTGTCCCGGAACCTCATTTTACAAAGGCATTGGCAGGTTGAGGGTATCCACGAAACAACAGGGAATGGCTGGAAAAGAGGAGTCCTGCACACACAGTCTGCAGGACTTCCAACGACTGGCTTTCACAAGTGGACGATGGAGGAGGAGGGTGCTGGCCAGACACGGAGCTCAGGGCTCAAGGTTTGGAGGGGGGGCTGCAAGTTCCAACAGGCGTCAACAGCAAAAAAGTGAATGGGGTCCCAGGCCACTTAGGAAGAAGGAGGTCAGACCACAGTAGGAAGACCGCATCTACTTCTGAGCACCACAGTTTAGAAAAGACTGCATTAAGTGAGAGAAGATCTAGAGGTGGGCAGCCAGGAGAGTGACAGGCCCCAGGGCCATGCCCAATGAGAATACTAGAGATCACAGCCTGGAGAAGAGATCTGGGGCCTGGGTAGCCATAAAGGGTAACTGTTTTCAGATATTTGAGGGCTGTCAAGTACAAGACACTTGTTCTGTTGCAAATTTCAATTTCCCAACAATTAGAACCATCCAAAAGTGGCTCAGGCTGCCCTCAAAGGAGTTCCTTGTCACTGGAAGCTTCCAAGAGGGTACTGGATGACAACTGTCCACATTGGGAATCATAACCCTTACCTGCAGGTGCTCTGCCCAAAGGAATATAAATTTGGATTTTGAGATCAAAGAGATCTCAAGCTATCTTGAGGTTTACAGGCTACATTTCTTTAAGGACCATGCCTTAAACCCAAATCACTCTGGCTCCCACTGACCAGCCAACAACAGGTCCCAGCCCAAGCCTCTCTCAGTCACTGTTTGGGTTCTGATGGCTCAGAGTGAGAGTAAATATCAATTGTTTCTGTTTTGGCCAGAAACCCCGAGGGTCTTCCCCTGCCAGACTGTTTTTGTTTTGTGGTCTGTTTTTTTTTTTTAAACTAGGTAAAAGAGGCCATTCTCTGCCTCATTTCTTACCTAGCCTTGATCAGTGATTGAGTGTTGCCTCAATCAAACTGAGACCTGGGAAAGACCTTAGCTTAAAAAGGCCAGGGTCTCCCACTTCATCCAGGGCCCCAGTCATCCTGATCTATACCTGGCCACTGGACCCAGATGGCTCCAGAGGAGAAAGTGAGGCTGGTGACTTTACACTGCCCTGCCTCACTTAAATCCAGTTCACTTGCATGTCATGGCATCACCTCCCTAATGTCATGACAAACAACGCATGACAACTTACTGGGTACGGCACGGTGGGGAATCCTTTTTGGACAGGTCTTGCACAGGACAGCTGCTCAGGTGACTTCAATTCTAAGACTGTGGGATCCTATGACTGCTGAATTTGCAGCCAGAGGTCTGCCTAGATTTACCACTTAACACGTGTGACCTCAGACAGTTCACTTCACTCTGTGGGCCTCAGTTTCCTCATCTGCAAAATGAAGGGCCTGACCTAGCTGACTCAAGGTGTCTCTGCTATCCCATGAATTACACCAGTGCTGCTGTTTGGTATCTATGTAGTCATTAACAACAGCAGCAGCACCTAACATCTCTACAGCCCTTCACACTTGGTCTCACTTGTCAGCACCTTCACGGGAGGGCAGGACAAAAGTGAAACGCTCAGGGGATCAGCTGAAGGCACCAGAGGGAAGGTTGAGATCTGGCCCAGAATGTCCTTTGGGGCTTCACGAGCAGGTTCTAATGATCAGCGCACACACAGAACTAAGAGATGAGGTCAGCTTGCTGAGCATACGTCTCATTTCTACATATTCTATTGAAGATTTTTTCTTCTTGTTTTTGTTTCTGCTTTTTTGGGCTAGGCAATGGGGTTAAGCGACTTGTCCAGGGTCACACAGCTAGTAAGCGTCAAGTGTCTGAGGCCGGATTTGAACTCAGGTCATCCTGACTGCAAGGCCAGAGCTCTAACCCCTGTGCCACTTTGCTGCTCCCGTACTGAAGAAGCAGGACTTTCTGGATCCCAGGTATCAAGTCAGAAGAAAGTAAAGGATGCTTTTGAAAACCAAGGGCAGGCACACACAAAAGCAGTTGTGAACCTCAATTGGACCAAACTGTGCCAGTCTGGCACGGCAGGCACTTCTTCCCACCCCCTTACCTGAGGACATCTCTGTTGATCGACTATACTTTATAATTTTTTCCAGCTGCTCATGATTCTTTCTGCTGAATACTTTTGCTGGAACAGGCTCCTCGGTCTGGGCTGCATGCCTGTTCCTGCTCTTGCAAGGCTCACACGTACTAGACATACTGGCACTTTCATACCCTTCGGTGAAAAAAGGGACAAGTGTTGTCATCAGGCGCGCCTGGCTCACTGAAAGCGTAACCCAGTTTACAGTCATTCTGAGAGTCAATGCCATGCTAGCAGAGGAGAACTGGGGCCCCAAGGATCAGGCAGGTGAAGTCAAAAGAAATGTGGAGGGGATAAATTAGCACCCACACCTGGGGAATTTGCTCTCGTCTTCCAAGTGTCTGCCTGGTAAGAGATTACAGGTGAGGGGTGTGGATGGAAAGGAGATCTCATCAGGATTCTTGGAAACAGCCCCAGAAAAGGGTAGAGACAAGACTCAGGCTCATTTGGAGCCCCTCAGGTACCCCACTAAGGATGGAGTGACAGCATGTATAGAACATTAGCTATATTCCTAACTTAGATTTAGTGGGAAAGTTTAGTCCATGATCCCAAATAAAATGCCAATCAAATGAATGAAAACTACTTAAATGTCTACAGCTAAAGAGCTGTTCTTCAGCGTTCACTACTGGGCTTTCGTGACCTCTGATCTGGATTACTGGTCTCCTGGCTGTCGTGTTATGAAGCTTGGCTCATTCCACCTCCACAATAATCTTCCTCTTCCCCCAACACAGATCCATGGTGTCTGCCTCTCACCTGGACTATTCTGTCTCCTCCCCGATCTCTTTCCCTTCTCAGTCCATCTTTCCCACAGATGCCAAAATAAGCTTCCTAAGGCACACACCTGACCATGTCATTCAAAAGCCTCATTTCCCTCCTGCCTATAGATCGGAAGGCCTTTGGTTGGCACCGAAAGCACTCTCTAACCTCCCTTTCTAACGTTATTCCACAGTACTGACGTTCATCGATGGCCCAGTGCAATCAGTGAGATTGCTGGCTCTTCACCAAACCAGGAGATGGCCATCTCTTTCCCCAGGCTGAATGCTTGGGGACCATCGCCCTTGTTGAACAAATACCATCTTCCCTCAAGGCCCACCTTCTGTGCAATGATGGCTCCAGAAAGCCTTTTCTGACCTGGAGGGGACCCTCTTACATCCTGCCTTCTTTGTTCACATGATACAGTCTCCATTCGATCACAGACTCTCTTTTCAGGCAGACACTGTATCATTTATCCTCCTGGCACTTCTAGCATCTCGAAGTGTCTGAAGCACAACAATGCGTAATAGCTTTCCATAGAATTAAAGCGAATTAGAGCCTTCCCATTCATCCAGCATTTCGTATGTGCACTGGGGAATATGCATGACACAAATCTGTCACTAACACGATAACAAATAATCATTGCTCATTTGTAAAGAAAAGCATTTACAGAAGACCTCTCTCTTCCTGGAGCTCACAGGGAATAAGACCCAAACACACACTCCATATAACGTGGAACATCATACATTAAGTGCGCCAGAGGGGAGAGATCGGGGAAATCAACAAGGTGGAAGACGTGGGTAACAAGGGCGCCTTTGGCGGAGGGCTTGTGAGGAACTTAACAAGCAGTCGGCAATGCAAGTGTGCAACAAAGGCCCTGCTGAGATTCTGGTGCCAGGAATGCCTGAAAGATGAAGTCTGCCGGCCTCTCTAGCCTTCTGTAGTGGTAATCACTAGGGATGCCCCAGGTTGTCCTGGGCAGAAAAGCAAGAGACTGTGAACAGGAGCAAGTCAAACCCTGGCACTGAAGAGCAAAGCCTAGGGGCGGGGGAGAAAGACGAGTGATGGGCGATGGGTGCAGAGCCTGGAGGTCATGTGCTAAGGCTCTGGATGTGAGAAGGGCCATGGCTTTTCAGGCTGCCCTTCCTTTTGAGAGGCACATCCAGGAGGAAAGTACGACCAACCAAGTGTGATGCTCATGAGGGGTGGGGAGTTTGGTCACTGCCACGAACACTTCTGGTCCAGAGAACCGTGGAAAAGGATCAGATGGAGAGGCAGCCAGTGAGAAAGCTGTATGTCCACAGGGGCCACATCAGGCTGGTGAGGGAGCAGCCTGCCTGTGCGCCACGGATCTTAAAGGGGCTTAGCTCAGAGAGACAGGATGGGGGAGCCTGGGCTGCAGTGACCCAGGGACAAAGGAGGAATGAGGATAAGACAAACACCGTGTAGACGGCAGAATGGTCATGTCGCTTGGCCCTAAGATGGGGAGCCTGCACAAACAGGACTGGGACAACAGCAACCGGGGGGGTAGGGGGGTAGGCAGGAGATTGCTTCTGCATGATCACAAGACTTGCAGAGCTGATCTGCTACGGACTTCACAAAAGAATGTGGACTGGAACGTTAGTGGCATTAAATGGCACCTTCTTAAATTTGATCTACGGAATTAAAAAAAAATTTAACCAAATCAAGTACTTCACATTAGTGAGAGCAATGTGGAAGCCTGGGCTGGACACGCCCCCAGCCCCGGTTACTGATCTCCCGCAGTCTCAGCTCCTCCCTTTTTAACCGTGGACCTGCAGCGCCCAATGCCCGGCAGCACCTCACAGGACGGCCCCGGCCAGGTCAACGGCTCTAAATACGGGGCCCCAGGCCCCAGTCCCCAGCACTTACTGGTGCTTTTCACTCTAGCTTTCAGCTGCGCAGAAGCCTTCTTCTTCATCTTTGACTTGGGGGTCTTGTCTCTGGAGGCCAGGCTGGCCTGTGCAGATGCCTTCCGAGTTCTGAACGTTTTTGTGACTGTGGTTGGGTCTATGGGGTCGGGCATGCTGCTGAAGCTCTCCAAGGACTCTTCGTCGAACTGCCGCCTTCTCTGGCTGGCCTCGAGCTGACCTGGGCGATCGCCGTGGGCAGTTTTCTGCCCAGACGCTGCAAATCCAGTCTTGACGAATGGCTTCTCGAGACCCCCTTCTTGCTCAAACAGCCAGGCCGGTTGACTGCTTTCCACCTCCTCTTCAGGCTGCTTTTGGTTTCTTATCAGGAAAACAAAAGAACTTTTACCCGATACATTTCTCCACTCTCCACCCCAGGGGCAATCCCTTACACTTCACACCGAGAGGCAGATTTGGGGATGCAGAATCACTGGGGGCCAGTCACCAGAATGTTTCCACAGAAGTCTGTACCACAGCCTAGGTGAATGCTGCCTAAGTGGAGCTGCAAACCAGGCTTGTTCTAAGACCCCAAAGCACAAGCTCTTTCTTTCTCTGGCATGAGACTGCAGCAGAGAACAGATAGGAGTGCAGATACTCCCAGGAAAAATGGACTCTGAAGTGGAGGAGAGGGATAGGACTGAGGGCCAGCTAGTTCAGACAGAACCAAGGTTTGTCAAGGCCCATATGCTGCCCTGCTGGTCCAGAGACACACCCCACCCCTATGGTTATTCTGGGCCTGGGCTGAGCCCCAAAGGTACCAACTCACCATGTGAGGAAGACTTCAGAGAAGCCTGTGATCGTACGGAGTCTGCTTAAATTGAGGGAGTCCCAGATCCTGCCCAAGGAAAGCAGGGCCCCAACACTGCCCATGGACGCCTGATCAAACTGGACATTCGGATCTACCCCAAGAAGAGCCTCCCGCATTCCTGGTACTGTTTCCAGAGCTGGGATGGCTGGAAGGAGGACCTAGCATTTGTCTGCCAAACAAATGGTCAAAGCCTGAGAACTCCCCAAACCCAGCTGGCTGAAGAAGGGGACCCACCAGACAGCGAGATGAATGAAGAAAGAGGCAGACTTGCTTCTCTGTATGAGTGCATGAAAGATGGGGCCTGCCTGGAAGACGCATTGTTACAGTTCAGAAACACCTGGCTGGGCTTACTTCTTGTTTGTTTTCTGGTTCTGTGGCACAGACCTGCTCTGTCCAACAGGAGGTTTTATGCCTCCTGTCCTTATTTTTAGTGCCCCAAACCTTCATCTCCAAACATCTAGGTTAGAAAATTAAGTGGAACCCCTTGTCTGGGAAACCAAGCACAACTGTCTGAAGAAGATTCCAGGGCCCTAGAATACCCCTTCTTGAGCAGCTCTGAGGCCAGCGCTGTCCAGCTGCCCTGAAGCACGGACCTAGGAACATGCCCACAAACCAAGTCTTGGGAGGAGCCTCTTCAACCCCTCTGTGTGGACTTGCTCATGCTGCAGGCAGCCCTCACAGCCTGGAGCCCTTTCACTCTGCAGCCCCAGCCCCTAGGGGCATGTGTGGGTGTGTGCACTGAAGTCGGGCGGGCTCTCATGGAGCAGAGATAAAAATCAGTAAAGGGGGGAAAGGGTGTGTGTGTGCACACCAATGGGCTAAGGCCAGCAGCATCTCAGGGGGATCCTAGGCCAGAAGGCCACTCAGACTGTGGCCATCCTAGAGCCAAGCCTTCAACCAGCTGATCAAAGGCCCTCAGGGCAGTCCCTGTGGCCAACAGCAGGTGTATGGCCTGACAGCTCCCCTTCTTGGCTATCCTGTGAATATCCTTCACAATTACACTTTCAAAGTGTACACTGATGTATCAAAGGGTCAAAGGGTGCGTGTGCACGCACACACGTGTGCCCACACATACAAACACCTTGCTCCCCCCCACCTTCTCTGTGAATAGAATACCTTTGGTTCTCGGCTCCAGTGGAGGAACTGCTCTCGAAGGGTTTTGGAAATGCCACATACTCAGTTTTCCCTGGCATATTCTGATCTGTTGGTTGTGGCTGCTGCTCACCGGGTGGAGGGATGTTTTGTGCCAAATCTCCAAAGTTAGATGAAAACAAAGGGTTGAAATTCATACCTGTCAGAGTAAAGTCACAGATGTAACAACGCATACTAACGAATGCAATTTCTACAATGAGGGCATTTCAAGCCCGCAACAATGAAACCTTCTACACAGCTTTTTACACTCAGGGCCACTCACTTCAGGAACGGCTCTGAGGCCCAGGACCTCACCTGGCAACACTGTCCATGCCCACGCGGTCCTAGGAAGGGCGGAGGCCCTCCCTCACCACCCCTTCTCCCCATCCACACTGGTTGACCTTCCATGGCTACCCCAGGAGTCATGGCCGCCTGCCTGTGCGACCGGTGGCACGCGATTGAGTGGCTGCAGGAGAGGAACTCTTTGTCCGTTTAGTTTGGGGCAAGGCTGCTGTCTTCTCAGGGATGACAGACCTTGTGGAGGAGGTCTGCAGCCTCCAGAGGGATCTTGTGAACGATGGGGAAGCTGCCGAGGGCAGATACGTGAGGCATGATGGATTCGCGGAACGAATGCAGAGCTCAAATCCAACCTGGTGACTGATCTGCCTGGGTAAGGGTGAGGCTGCACAGAACTGAGAAAACAGGCCCGGGGCTGGGCAGTTCCCAGTGTCTGCGGCACCACCTGCCACTACCGGCGTGTCATTTTTTCCACTCTCAAATGTACTGAAAATCGACACTTTGATGCTCTCAAAACTGTGCGGGCTCCAGCAGGGGCTGGGCATTCTAGCTCCACAGCCTTAAAAGCCATTTCTAATTTTCCTAGCAAATGCGGTTCTGTGCCCTAAAACTGCCATGGATGATGAGAGAGCCCTCTAAACATGCCAGCAGAGAGTTGATGTTTCTCCCATCTGTCGCTCCTCAGGGCTTCTTCAAGGCTAGCTCACTCAGGATACAGGACCCCAGAGTCAGAGCCAGAAATGACCCTCATTTTACAAGTAGGTCACCGAGGCCCAGAGAAGGCCAGACATCTGGTAAGCTCTAGTGCCAGGATGAGAAGCACGTATCAATGCTTGTTGACCGCCCAAATGACCGTGGGCCCCAATAAAGCTCTTTTCCCACGCGTACCACCTCAGTGCTTCTTCCAAGCTGCATCCACCCGAGGACCCACCAAGCTACGGAGAAGATGCCCCAGGGACCAGGAGGCTGTGGTAACCCACGAGCCCAACCCCTACTCTGGCCATCAGAATGGAAGCTCTCTGACAGGGAGAGACCTGCTACACGCCAGGCACGTGATAAGCGACTGGTGCCCAGGGGCTTCTAAGCCGGCCACTCGGACTAGCAGATCTCGTGGGCCACGGCCTAGTCAACAAAAACACACAATGGCCCCGACTCCTCCCCGGCTCCCTTCTGATTGTGCAAGGATGGGGCAGACTAGCAGAAAGGGTGCACAGAGGGCTCTGATAGAGGTTACCTTTGCAGTTGGTAACCTAAGTGTGAGATCGAGGCCCACAGTGGCTGACAAGTGGACATGGGACAGGAGGTCCTGACTGCTATCGATCTTGGACCCATTCTTGCCATGACAGAAGCCAGAAGGTAAGAGCAGGTTGCAGTGAAACAGAACAAAGGATCCCAGATTCTCTCTGGGAAAATGCATAAAGGAATTGGAGAAGCTGATCTCATGTTATATCCCAAGGCAAGAGGAAATCGCTGGGATACAGGCCACTTATCCAGCTTGTATAAGAGGGATCGTCATGAGTGATCTGCACAAAAGAGCACCACACACAGCTGCAGCTGAAGCCCCACCATCTGCTGCGGAGACTAGAGTGTTATTCTACAGAGAACCTGCTAAGACCCTCCAAAGGAAATCCATCATTGATGTCTTCAATACCAAGTTGGGAAGAGGAGAGCAACTGGATCAAGAATAATGCATGACACCTGTATATCAGAAATCACTTCTTCAAGAACAGAAGTGGAAGGCACCAAATATGTCCAGCCCCAAACAAGACCACAAAAGCTGAAAGCGATCACACTGGAAACAAAGAGGAACTTATTTGTGATGCGGAAGTCCTTCCTAAATCCAACCACTGGCTTGTCAGGGCACAGATAAAAATCTGCACAAAATGAGAATAAAAACAGGGAAAAGACACCCCAAGAATCAAGCACCAGTTCCCTCCTGAGCTGTCTGTACCAGCTCCTTTGGACGAACAGAAGGACACAAATACAGATTATAACCATTCTGAAACAGCAGTTCAGCCGAAGCCAATCTGTCGCCATGAGAAAGAGGCCAAGAGATGAAAAAGCCCAGTCAGCAAACCCCAAGTCTATTTGCCAAAGAGAGCGAGAGGAGGGCCCCAAAGGAAACCCTGAGTTAGACTATCAACAGGCTTGTACAACCTTACAGAGAAGGAGGATGCAAGACCACGAGCCAGCCCGACTCATACAACAAAGAGGAGGAAGGAAGGAAAACCCACGTTAACAGGGAGCTTGAGAAGAGGTCTAAGCAGCCATATCATCCCGAGGCATTCAGTGATGAAACAGAAGGTGGAAAATGACGACGACAAACTAGGAAAAGCTCTGCAAGGACTCTCGCTATCAACGGCAGCAGGGCCCCGTCCTTGACTCCTGACCCCCCAACCCCTCACAGAAGAGGCATTACCAGTGTAGCGCAGGAGACTCTAGCACGGTCAGGGGAATCCACAGGTGTTCACAGAGATGACCTGTGCTAGAGGCAAGGCCGTCACAAGGGCAGCAAGGGAACAACTCGCCAAATATCCCAAAAGCGTCAGGAGATTCTTGGCACAGGCCAAGAGCACATCAACAGCAAGTCTCCTCTGCTCTCCTTGGAGCAGTGGAATAGGTGGAGCTGGTCTTATTTTACATCCCTTTCCTCAGCAGCATGAGCAATGGCCGGTCGGCTCTGATGGCTTCTGCCTCATCAGAGGAAAGGGTCACACCCCGGACATCTTAGACCCAGGGAAACACGGTGAGCAGGGGCTCTACCTCCAGTCGCCTCTACAAATTCCCTTGGAACGCAGGTGGTTATTTGGGTCTCACCCTCCGCTACTCTTTGCAAGTCTGTCAGGGGAAAGTACTCAGAATCTTCCACCGTCCCCCTCTGTGGCACTTTTCAAACGGCACAAAGACTCTCCCTCGGTCAGGCAAGGACGTCGAGCGCCGCGTCCTCCTTCTAGCGGTGCTTCATGTCCATTAAGTTGGCATGGCAAACAGTGGTGATCGGAACTGATGGATGCTCCTTGATGGCATCTCCACGTCACACTTGCTGCTATTTTAATATTTGGGCTCTGCTCCAATGAGCCTATGGTCTCTCAATACCGGTCCCTAGACAAGGCTCTCACGGGTAGAACTCCAATGGTAAAAATGAGTTGCAGAATCTACCAACTCCACTTGTTGACATCGTCTGCCCCCAGGCCCTGCAGACATTGAAGGAGGCCATCTCTGGCGTCATTAGGGCAAAAGCCCCACCAAGGGGGTGCAAACACGTGCTATCGTCAGGACCGGACTCCAGGTCTCACAGCGGACTCATGCTGCCGGCCAGTCAGTCGGCTAGCACAGAGGAAGCAGCCCCTCTATGCAGGCACCGAGCTAAGGGCTGTGGGTACAAAGACAGACAGAAGGCAGAGTGGTGGTGCGATACAACGGAAGGAGCCAGGGCTCGGCTCTTCCTACTCGGGTGGCTGGGGGGGCGGACAGTGTTCCTCCTCCCCAGAAGCAGGCTCCACAGCCCTTCTCGACACAGCGAGAAGAATGTTGCTGGGGAGGAGGGCTGGTCAAGGCTTGTGCTTCACTGCCCCTTGGGAAGCGAGGCCTTCCAGACCTCACCCTGAGCCTGCAGCTGCTCCAGACAGACTGGCTTCAGGGTTGCACTGCCTCCAGACAGAAGAGGCAGCAGAGACCCGGGAGGCCGTGGCTGGGGCCGTTACCCCCAGCACCGAGTGGGCCCTTGCCAGAGAGCAGGCCCCTGCCCCAGTGAGACATCAGGCATGGGCTTCAAGAGGTCTGCTCCTGGGTAAAGAGAACAGCGATCAGAGGTGCCATCTTGGGAGAGCAAACACTCCAGGGCCCTCCAAACCCTCAACGGAAAAAAAGCAGTCCCTACAAAATGCACTCCCCAGTTGATTTAAGCTGTTCAATAAGCCCAGGAAACAGAAGAACAATTGAAGTCCTTGCTGTGGACAGCGTGAAAACATTACCAGCAGTCTTTGAAAACATACAACCCCCTTTAACAATGGCCTTTTAAAAAAATTCACAGGTCAGTAAAGACGTAATTCTCAACAGCGTGCCATTTGTTTGAGCTCCCTTTATGGTCTCCGAATATGCCTGGTACAGGGGTCAGTGAGGTGGCACAGTGGACAGAGCACCAGCCCTGGAGTCAGAAGGACCCGAGTTCAAACCTGGCCTCAGACACTTACTAGCTGTGTGACCCTGGGCAAGTCACTTAACCCCAACTGCCTTTAAAAAAAAAAAAAGAAAAAGAAAAAAGAAAAGAAGAACAAATATACCTGGTGCAAATGAAGAGAAATGGGAAAATCCCGGGAGGTTAAAGAGACTCATGGGCTGGGCAGGGAAGCTGAAGGGACAGAACAAAGCCGGTGAGGGGGGCGGTGGCGCGCTGCTGCCTCGCTCCTTCCTGCCTGCCTTCTCAGGCTGGTGCTCACGCTGGCGCATCAGTTCACTCAGCATCTGTCTCAACCTGCAAAGAAAATGATGAGTCTGCTTCTGTGACTGCCCCAGAAAGAGGGACACTAAGAAATGACAGGAAGTCCTCCTGGGAGGCGGGGGCATGTGTGTCTATCCCGGGGGGGGGCCTCTACTGGAAAGGCAGCCCTGGACACACCACTGCCTCCAGGCCTCCCTTGCCCCTGGCTTCACTGGAGCAGAGGGAAGCAACTCCATTTCTTTTCTCGAATAGCAGTCTAAAAACTGAGGCTAGGGGAAATGGGATTCCCACCACTAGCCACCAATGCCACCAGCCATTTGGTGCAACGCCTGGCGTCCCTCACCTTCCTCATGATGTCTCTGCCACACAGGTTAGTGACTGAGGCTTATTAGCGCAGAGTCACCCAGCCCGTTAGTGGCAGAAATTAAAATGAGCTGTCATGAGTCCCACCTCTCTGGGTTAAAAAGTCCAAAAGCACTCTAGAGAGCCCTAAGTAAACAGCCTCCCTGCTCCCGTCACTCCCCAAGTACAGAGAGGAAAGACTCACTAGCAATGGAGGGGAGCATTATAAGGGCCCAGCAGAGTCGGCCACCCTTGCCCAGGCTCACAGAGCCAGGGGGCAGGAGGGCCCAGCCCCCGCTGTCCTGGCGACTTGAGCTGGTTCCTACCTCTGAACGTTACTCTGCTGCCATGTTAACTGAGTATAGCATTGGTTTAACTGGTGCATGATCAGATGGACCTGGGGGGATGCCACATTACTGGGCATGACGCTGTAGGGTCCCGTGAGCAGAGTCTGCAGCAGACACGAGAGGGTCTAGAACAGAAAGGCCCCGTCAGCGGTGCACCAGCGCCACCCAGCGCCGCCCCACTTGCATCCCGCCAGCCCACCTGCTGGTCCTGCATCAGAGTCTGGCAGATGCTGACGCTGAAGTCCAGCTGCTTCCTGAGCTGGCCGATCTGCTCCTGCCACTGCTCTTTCTCCTCGACGTACGAGAGCTCTGACACCCAGCGAAGGTTCTCCTGCCGCCGCATGCTGATGTTCTGCTGCCTCGTCTTGGCCAGGGGACGGTAATTTCCATCTGCAGAGAGAGGACGGCTGGCCTTCCACCTGAGGGGTAATTGATAACATGGGCCACTGAGCGCCACCTCATGGGGAGGGGGAGGCGGGGGGCCAGCCAGGGGAGGTTGGGAGGCCAGCGCCATCTGCTCGGCCACAGCATCTCCACTGCGTGCAGACTAAACAAAGCATGTCTGGAGGGGAGGCCGAGAACTGAGCAGGATCTCAGCCCTGGTGAAGACATCGGCCCACCCCATCCTAGCCCCAGTGGCACGTGGGGGGTCACTTCACGAGGTGCGTGCCACCGTTCGACAGGCAGCTCGTTCCTTCTAACTCGTGGGCTGCTGAGTCCTGACCAACCAGAACACAAAGGAGGCCATGGTGCTTCTGAGATTCTTCACAGAGATGTAGCCAAAAGCCAGCTAGGCAGGACTTTTACGTGAATGAGATACTGCAGAATCCTTATGGAACATCTCCTGGTACTGTGAAGGCCGACATGGAGCAAAGGGATCTCAATGGAGGGAAAGGCCTCGCTGATTTCTCCAGCCACAGCCAGAAGGAGCCCTGGGCGATGTGCGTCCGTCTTCTCCCTCCCCACTCTGACCTCGCTGTTTCACCTGTGCACTAGGGTGCTAAAAACCCAACTCCGAACCACAGAGAGGAAAGGTTCCCTGAGGTGCTCCATTCCTTTTTTAAGTAGCTGCCGTGGCTGGGGGATGGTTTTCCCTGGGGACCAGGGCAGACAAGTATTCTGAAAAGCAAGCTGGGTGGTAAAACCCACTGACAGCATTCTTTCTCTGAGAAAGGAGGGAAGGTGCAAGGCCTGATGGACAGAAAGCGAGACCTCAAGCCGGGAAGAAGACACGGCTTTAAACACTCACTGCTCTGGGCCATGGGGGTCAACTCTGGAGGGCCAATATGCCCCAACTGTGTGGACATGTAATTAGGACAAATGTAACGGAACAAAGTAAACATCGTAAAATAAACAGCATCTCAGATCACGTCGATCGGTAGTGTCCCCCCACAGGACCATGCCACACCCTCCGTCTCACTCCAGGCAATGCTCAGGGAAGGGACTGAGCTCTGCTGGGGCAGAGGGAGTTTTCTCACTGAGACTTTGTGGTGCCGCTGAAATCACAGTTCAGTTCCCCTTCCTATTCTATGGGAACACGCATTCAGCATTTTATACAGCTGATTCATAAAAGGGCATTTGGGGAACACAAGTTTGGAACTGGGGACTCTGGAATCTGCAGTTAATTTTGATAATGGTTTCAGCTACGGATAAGAAGCTTTTCCAAAAGAGGGGCTGAAGAAGCTAATGCCTCCCAAACAAGACCCGTGAGCAATGACGGGACAGGTGGAGGTGCATTCCACCAGTAGGGGGGACCCAAGAGAACAGCAGGAGATGACCATGAACCCCTCCCCAGTCCATCCTGAAGGACAATCATCTGTCTGATTAAGTCAGACCCTTTGCTTCTAACAAGGATCTCAATACATGATGCTGCCTAAAGCTCCTCCACTGCTGTAAATACCTGACAACCTTTTACAGTGCTTTAGCAAAAGTAAGAAATGGTATCACTCACTGAAAGTTGAAATAAATGTAAGGAAAACAAGGTTTTTTGTTTTCAGATAAATGACTGGAAACCACACTTTCCCTCTTCTAGAGACCCTGACAACACTGCTAAATGTCACAGCTTCACGTGACAATGCAAGGGTGTAAAGACCTGGGGGAAGACCAAGCCAGGTACTACTCCTTAAAACAAGGATCACACAGAAAAACAAAAACAAAAGCCAAAGTGGGCCATTCACCCCATCCCAACCACTCGTCAGCACTCTCCACATCTAGGTCACCCCCAAGATGGCAGAGTGTGGGATACAGATGAGCTCGGTGGGCCAGCCTCCCTGCAGGCATTGCCACCTCCTGGGGGATCTGGTGACCAGGCCCTTACACGCCTTCTCCCCAGGGCACCACTAAGGCCCGGCAGGCACCCAGCCTTCCTGACTCCCCATTCTGCGGTCTTTCCTCTGCCCTGCCCCTCCAGAGAAAAGGCCCCACACTAACCTAGCCTTGTCCTCCTTGGCCCCACGGGGATTATGAGTCACGCCATTAGGAGGATACACAGCAAAGCCATCATTGGAGCTGGCGTCCTCCTCCTCCTCCTCTTCTGCTTGAGTGACTCCGTCAGAAAGGTACCCGTCTTCTTCGCCTTCTTCATCCAGGGCACACTGGGTAGAACCTCCCCAAGTTGCCATTGTTCTAATGATTATGACATAAAATACAGTCAATTTTGCCCACATGCCAAATATCTTCAGCCATAATCCCTGTTACAGACATGCCATGGCTAATGCTGTCACTGCTGGAGGGGCGCTGCCCCTGGCCTTCCCAGACCAGCTCTGGCAGCTCCAGTCCTAGCTCCCTGCAGCTAGCTCTCCATCCCTGTCTGCTGCTGCCAAGGGCAGCCACGCCAAGAACGGCGCCCCAGCTGCCACCTGGACTTCCAGTCTCTGGCTCTAGGACAGTTATTGTCCTCACTGGTCCTGGGCCGTCTGGCGCCTCATGGGAATGAAGCTGAAGGCCGCAGGAGCTCCGGGGGTGCTGTCATGACCGGCAAGCACATCAGGAGAGGCAGGCGCATCTGGGGAGCGAACAGGCAGTCAAGGCAGGCTCATGGCCAGGGAAGGACCACCTCTACAGAAGGCTGGTGCAAATGAATGTGCTATGGAAGGGCTTTAAACTGAGGAGGAGGTGGACCCACCAAGACAGACCACCACGGAGAATATCTGAAATGAACAAATGAAGAACAGGGAGGAAGGAGCTCCGCAGAGCGCAGAGCGCTGGTCTGGGAGCGGGGAAGAGTAGGCACTCACCAGCTGTGCGCCACTCTGGGCCGGTCACAACAGCACCAGCTCTCAGGGCCGACGTGAGGAACCGAGGAGACCAAGACTCTAGAGTCCTTGGCACTAGGATGTGCTCTAGAAATGCCCGCTACTGTTATTATCAGGTCCAGCCTCGGGCACTGCACCAGTCCCTTCAGCGCTGCCTGCCTCAGTTTCCTCAACTGTAAACAGCACTTACCAAGGTTAACCAAGGTTAGGAAGGGAGGGGGACCAGCATTTATTAAGTTCCTACTATGTGTCAGACATTGTGCTAAGCACTTTATGGGTATCTCACAATGACCTGGAGGCAGGCCCAGAGCTCTCCGCACTGTGTGCTGCAAACTGTATGCTGATGAAGAGAGTCACAGAAAGACGTGACCTATCACGTCTCCACACAAATGCCCAGTACCAATGGCTAAGATGCAGGGAGCGCCCCTCCCCACCACCGTCCTGTGAGGTTTTACACATTGGGGAGCAGCCTTCAGGAAGGGGAGTGCTGGCGGCAGCCGCAAGTAGGATCTGAGGTGTGATGAGACAGGTTCAAGTCTGAAGCCATGCAAGATGGCCTGTGGGGCCTCAGTGGGCCGAGCACCAGGACAAGGGGAGGCCAGGAAGGGCATCACTGGAGCACAGTACAGAATGCGTGGATGAAAGGAAGAAGGCGACCATGAGCCCGCCAGAGCATCACAGGAAACGTCGGTGCTGACGCTGCGGGAGGCAGCTCCGTCTGGGCCTACAGCTATTGATTGCCACGCTCCTGGCCCAATGGGAGAATGCTCCTTTAGGAGCCTCTGACGAGGAGGAGATAAAAGCCCGTCCTCCACTGGCCTGGCCCTTGCTCTCTGCAGCACAGAGCTGAAATGGGAGAGACTGCCGCCCAGAACTCTACTGAGGACCCCCGCCCAGCAGCAAAGGCAAGCTCTCGTGAGCACAGAGAGGAAGAGGAGAAGGGGAGGAGTCCAAAGAGTCAGATGTAGATGTTTCTAAAGCTGTATGGACGACACAGAGCCAGGGAAGGATAATAGTAACTACTAATGCTTGGGCAGAATACTACCACTACCATTACCAGGACTAGCTCACACTTATATAGCAGCTATTGCATGTCAGCCACTGTGCTAAACACTTTCCCATGATTATCTTACTGTATCCTCACAACACCCTAGGAGCAAGGTGCTTTTCTTATCCCTCTTTTACATCTAAGGACACTGAGGCAAATAGAGTGAAGTGACCTGCCCAGGGTCACACAGCTAGGAACTGTCTGAGGCTGGACTTCCTGACTCCAGGCCGGGTGCTTTGTGCACTGTGGCACCCCCAGCCTGACAATCGCTCAGGATGAACAGAAAGCGAGGCCCGGCCTTGAAAGAATGGCACCGGGAGCCTGTGGCTCTGGGCAGACACAGCGTCTGAGGCCAACGAGAAGGCACAGAAGAATGAGCAACACGCACGATGCTTCCCCCGACTGGGACGCGGCAGCAAGGATATAAGCACCGCAAAAGAGCCAATGGGATAGACACGAGAAGGGCGCCATGGCCCCCTGAGCGCTCAGTGGAGCACGAGATAGTGGCACCCAAGAGAGGCTGGCCTCTGCACTTCAGCAGTGAAGGAAACCAAGGCGCAAACGCCTTGACCAGGGTCCCCAAGCTACCCAGGGAAGCGTTCGGGCCAGCATCTTCTGAACCCAAGACCGGGGCTGCTCCCTTCACTCTACCAGACCAAGGTCAGACCAGGTAGAGCCCAAGAAATGGAGCTCTGGAGCTGGGTTATAGAGACCCAGCAGGCCTCAGGGGAAGATGGTGAGAGAGAGACAGAGACAGAGAGAGAGAGAGAAGGAGAGAAAGGAGAGGGGTAGGAGAGGAGACAGTGCACCAGAGTGTTCCAGAGTTGGCCCCATGGCCAGGAAGGGCAGGGAGAGCGCACTGAGATGGGCCAGCTGTCCAGAGGAGCCGGGTGCAGAACAAGTGGCTCAGGCGGGGTTCTTACTTCTCCGTTCTGCTCTGCCGCGGGGTGCACGGATTCTCAGAGACATCGCTCCTGACTGACACGGCGGCTGTGGACCCCGTCTCCGTTAAATCTCGCCTCCGCTGGTGCTCAGCCATGAGGGCTTCCAGCTGCTTTCTTCTCTGTCGTAATTCTTCCCTTAAAATCTCATGTCTTCGCATTTCTGACCACAGCTGTTTAAAAAAAAAAAAAAGGAAAGCAAAGTGAGCTCCAACAAAACACTTAGGCAAATACACGCTGCCAACACCTACTTCTTGATTTGCCGTTTAAAAATAGCCATTTCAAAGGCTGAAGTATGGGCTAAAAACACCAGCTTCCAATAAAACTTCCTTTTTGAGGGCTCAGCTCAGCACAGCGCTCAGCAAGCACACAGCAGACGCTTAATAAATGCCATGGACATGGAAACAAAAGGCATACAATGAAGGTCGAGCCGGCACCTCAATCAGAAGAGAAACATGGCAGATGTTCACTTAGGCTGATGAAAACGGATGCCAGACCAGTATTTCCCACACACTTTTCTAAAAGACTGTATGCTCTCTAGAAAACGAATTCAGACAACAAAGTCAAACCCAGGACAATCCTGCTCTCAGAAAATTTCCCCATTTGATATGTACAATCTGATGAAAGAAACCAAAAACACCTTGAAATTGCTATGAAATGGTGCCAACAGTGTCTCGGATACACACTGATAATTATTTTTAGACTCAGATTAAGCCTGAAAAATTGAGACCTCAACATTTCCAAGAGTTCTCTTTTTTAAATCTAAATCTGCATCTTGCTCAGGGAGGGCGGGCACGTCAGCCATGTGGCTGCTTGAGCAGACGTGAAGCCTCGACTCTCCAGAGACTTTTCAAAGCAGACCTGAAAGGAGCCTCACAGCAGAGGCAGAGGCACCACGCATACCCCTCCACCCCCACCTACCTCGTTATCTGCCCCCACTGCCCCAGCTGGTTCTTCTGCTGCAAAGCCTGCTTTGTGGGCAGGGCTGTTGTCACGCTCATTCACAGCTGGTGTGGAGGTCAGCGCCTGCACGTGCTTCTTAGAGGAGCAGTTACCCACATTGGCAGGAGAAAGCTGGAAAGGGAGTCAAACAGGTTTGCCTCCCATAGGTGAACATTGTAAGTCATGGTTCTGCCCCACCCCCAATGGGAGCCAAGGAACGACGACTCACTGGGGTCCTCAGCATCGAGATCACAAGTGATCTCAGAGGCCTTTCACAGGGCAGATGGGGACACTGAGGCTAAGTCTCTCTGAGACACCCCCCCCCACCAGTTCGAGAGAACCTGGTGCGGGACACCTGCCCACGGCTGGCGGAGGCGGCCCTGGGCCAGAGCTACCTGGAGGTCAGGACACGCCTTCTGCAGGGCCTGGATTTTCTCCTGAATCTCAATCAGCATCTTTCTTTCCTCCTGCAGCTGTTTGAGTTCTTTCTGCTGCTGCTGCAATTTGGCTTCATAGAACTTCTCTCTGCCACAAGAGGGAGGTGCCACATGTGCCCCTGACCAGGCACCAGAGGCGGCCACAGCCGAAGCCAGAGTCCCCATGGCTGAGAGAGCATACCTCGCCTTGTCGTTGAGCCCGGCCTCCTGCGCCTTACTGCTGCTGGCTCTCACGTTATTGGAGTGCTGACTGGCCTCCGGCTCCTCCACTGGGAAGAAGTCCTCCAGGTGAGATGTGCTGGCTGAGATGGCGCCGGGCTCACCATTGTCCTCCTGTGACACGAGTGACCCCAAACCACCAGCTCCATCAATGGGATCCCGACACCCACAGACACCAACCATCCCAGCCTCAATGGCCTTCTGGGATCACTCTTTTAGCCCCCACAGAGCTGAGTTGGCAAACAACGACTAGGATTCGGACAAGATTGTGAAGACGAAAGTGATTTGGGAACAGACACCGAACCACCCGAGACCCCAGCCAAGAGAGGAGTCTGGCTGGCACCCTCCAACTGCAGAGTGTCCAGGCTGCCCGAGCCCCCGAGTTGAGAATGGTCCATACATTGTAGGATAAGGTTTCATCACAAAGCAGATAAAGAAAGCTCAAGGGTGGACTGCTTCCTCACCAACCTCAGGAGGAGCAGAAGAGAAGGTCTATAGTGAGCGGGACACACATGAGGTAGCAGGGCCCGAAAGCTCAGCCCCTTGTCACCTGCCACCTCCACTCGAATGGGTCTCACCCTTCGTGCGGGGGTCACCTCTTCCCCTCCGGCCTCACCTGCACCATAGTGACCAGATCCTGTAACTGTCTCAGCTTCTGCTTAGCAGCCATCAGCCTGCTGACCTTCTGTTCAAAGTCAGGGTCCTCGGGGGCATCGTCCCCCAAGCTGCTTCTGTGAGTGGATAATGACGCTTCGCTGCCTCCGTCCTCTTCAGCCTCTTCCTCCTCCTCCTCATCCTCCCCCTGTCCTCCACCGAGATCTTGTACTCCCTCTCTGTTATATCGGCACTCTACATGGAAAATCAATTCGTCAGTGGAGAAACATTTATTAAGTGCCTACTGTATTTCAGGCCCAGGGGATACAAACAATCTAGTGGAGGGGAGAACAACCAATGAATCTGAGATGATACTAATGTGATAAATAGGAGATAAACAGGAAACAATGATGAGGAAGAAGGCGCTGGAAGAAAGAGGGGTGGGTGAGAGTTTAGGTGGGACTTCCAGGAGACTGGACAGGCTGGACGCCTCCAAATGTCAAACACAGCATTCTGCCCAGGATCCTGGAGGTGACAAGTGCTCTTACAGACAAGGGGCACTGTGTGCGTGTGTGAGAGCCTGAGACACAGCCCCGCGACGTCAGAGGGAGCGCTCGTCCAGCGCCGGGGAAGGCAGCGCAGGTGCCTGGCGCCTGCTTACCGAGAGAGGAGGACACGTTCAGGGGGCGCAAGTTTGCGGCGGATCTGTTGTTGATCTCACAGTTGGCGTTCAGGCTTCTCCCGTCCCTGTTGTTGACGACGCACTGTGCGTTCATGTTACTGTTCACTTCGGCCCAACCTGCAGTGCCCTGGGGGTTCCTAAAGGGAGCCAGAGTCGCTGAGGCAGCTCCTTCTTAGGGCTCCTGCTCAGCCAAGTCCAAGCCTCCTGTCTCTGGATGAACCCCTGAACCGCTGCGCCTTGGCACGTTCATCCCCCCACCCTCACCCCCTCTCACTCTGGCTCCTCTGGGAGGGCTGCAGCGTCAGTGAGGAGGACCTGGCTACTACGGAGGAAGGGGAAAGCCAAGCCCCACGCCTGGGCTCCACCAGCACATGCCAGGGCTGCCCTGCCCGCTCCGAGGCGAAGCCCACAGAGGGCAGAGCCCAGGGCCTGGCACCCAGGGAGCACATCAGTGCCTTTACTCACTGACTGCCGGGTGCTCAGACTCCTCGACGCCCAGGAGGTGCTGGAGCTCCCCAGGTCCTTCCCAAAGCCTGACTTACAGAGACCCTAGCCCACGAGAAATGCGCAGGTTGGGGGAGAGAGGACGCGGAATCCTCCTTCTCACCGGATGTTGGTGATGGGCCCAGGGTTCTCGTGGTCCGAGTCGTATTCAGATTCTTCCGTCTCGTCTTCATCTCTGGTGTTCTCATTCACAGCATCGGTCATCATATCTGACGTCTGTTCATAATAATGAACTAATTCCCTCAATTCATTCAGTCTCTTCCGAACTTCATTCAATTTTCTGCAGGACAGAGATCACCAGGCTCCATATAACCAACTGAGAGAAAGCTTCAAGATTCACTGAGTGATTTAAATGTGTCATCTCATCTGAATAATCTCACTATAATCACAGATGAGGAAACTGAGGCAGACAGCGGTCAAGTGGCTTGCTCAGGGCCACACGGTTATGCAGTGTGCAAAGCTGGACCTGAACCCAGGTCTTCTGGACCCCAGTGCTCGCTCCACTGCTCCACCTAGCTGCCTCACATCTAAACATTTTATTTCACAAAAATCCCCACAGATGAACCCATGCCGTTCCTTCCAACGTCCTGAACTGAGCACATGCCCCGCAAAGCAGCCCCAAAGTCCAAGTGGGTCAGCCCCAGCTGTATCTCAATTAAGTAGGTGGAGCTGGAGCTAGAAAGTGATGAAACCAGTGTCCCCACATGGCACGGGGAACAGTCTCCTTCTCAGACAGGCCCAGGGAGGTTCAGGAGATGATGGCAATGTACACAACTCAGGCTTTCCTGGGCCTTCACTTCTAGGAGGTGCTTGTTTGCCCTATGGTCTACAGAAATCGCCCTGCCCTGAGCCAGCACTGCCAGAAACAGCTCTTGGTAAAGTGCCCGCTCCGAGGGACCGACGATGGGGCCCTGATCCCTAAACGTAAGACGAGGCGATTCCGAGCAGCAAGCCTACCGGTGCCTACGCCGCCTTCCACGCCATGGCCTGCACTTCCCTGGAAGGACTTGAAGCACAAACAGCATTCCCCCTTGATGACGACGACACCCAGGAACCTTTAACAGCTGCACACCCTGGTTCCCAGATGTCTTTCCTACAACCTTCCAAGTGCCCCCCCAACCTGACCCCGTGCAAGGTCCCCACAGGGTGTCATGCCCTTACTGGAGCTTCTCCGTCGGGTTCAGGTGCTCTTCAGTTTCACTCTCATTCCGAGAAGCCAGCGCATCAGGCGGATAAGCAGATGAGGGGGCACGACTGGAGGGCTCTCCGTTGGCAGCTGGGACCAAGCCCACTGGGGCAGAGGCTGCTGAACCGCTGCTCCTTTGATCCACACTCCTCTGAGGGGAAGGTGAGGGCAAAACTAGAAATAGGAAAAACGGCATCCATTGGAAGCCAAAGTATGACCATGTTCAGTGATGCCAAGCCATCCACCCATCCATCTATCCACTGACCCATCCATCCATTCACCCATCTATCCACTGACCCATCCATCTACCTACCCACCCATCTATCCACCCATCTACCCCCCACCCACTAACCCATCCATCCATCCACCCTTCTATCCACTGAACCATCCATCCATCCACCCAATCAATCCATCCATCCATCCACCCCCCACCCACTGATCATCCACCCATCACCCATCTATCTACCCACTGACCCATCCATCCACCTATCCACTGACCCATCCATCCATCAATCTATCCACCCATCCACCCACCCATCCATCCATCTATCCACCAACCTACCTACCCATACACCCCTTCACTGAAACATCCTACAGTCCTCTTTTGGCTTAGGCATCCCTGCAAACTCTAGCCCTTCACAAAGACCCAGTGGGTTCACATCCCATTCCAAGGCCCCCTTCCATAGTCTCTGCTGCCTCAATGTTCCCATAGCAACCATATTGAGCTTCACTTCTCAGCAATGGTGAAAACAATAAGCAAACAATAAGAGCCAAGGTAGCTATAAAATATGGGTGGGGATGGCACATACCCATTCTCAAACAGTGCAGTCAAGGCACCAAAGGTGAGCCCAGGGAAGGTTGGAGAGGAGCAGATCTCTTCTCCAACTCTCTCAGAAACGCATCACAACTCATAGATCAGAGCTGGAAGGGACCTTAGAAGTCACAAGGTCCAACACCTTCATTTTATAGATGGGGAAACTGAGGCTGAGACTAACTACCCAAGAGAGGATTTGAACTCAGGTCTTCTTGACTCTATCCACTGAATTATCTCACTATCTCTTCAGGAAAAGTAAAGAAAATAATTTAAGTATCATTAACCTTCCTCTTACTCAGTTTTTCCAAATTCCAAACTTCAGCATATGACCTAACTTCTTACTTCATGCCCATTTTATTTTCCTCTCTGTGTCTCTTGTGTAAAAGGAACAAAGAGCACTGAACCTAGAACCAGAGAACCTGGATTCAAATCCTGGCAGGGATCCACGCAGGGGTCTGCCTGTGTGATCTTGGGTGAGTCACTAACTCTTTGAGCATCAGTTTCCATCTACAAAATGGCAGGGCTGAACCTGATGGCCCTTCAACTCTAGGTCTGTGTCCTCTGAGCCCCAACTCTGGCACCACGAGATGCACCAAGTGATCTGCATTGTAAGTCAACATCACTCTCACCTTTGGGGGTAATTCCACCCACCCACCCATCCACCATCCACCCATCCACCATCCACCATCCATCCATCCATCCATCCATCCACCCACCCATCCATCTATCCATCCATCCATCCATCCATCCATCCATTGTGGAAAAGGAATGTGCGATGCTATTACCCATCCTGTTCCATGGCCATTTTATTTATCCAAATGCAAAGATCCTGAGAGGCAAAAGAACTTTCTGAAGGTCAGAGTTTGGTAGTGAAAAAGTCAGGAGGAACATGGTATTTGGTACAGAGTAGGAACTTCATACATGTCTACTGCACTACGTGTGGAATTGTCAACCAGTCCAACCATTCTGGAGAGCACTGTGGAACTATAAAACTGTGCATACCCTTTGACTCAGCAATACCACTACTAGGTCTGCATTACACAGAGATCAAAAAAGAAAAAAGAGAAAGGACCCATTTGTACCAAAATAGTTATAGCAGTTCTCTTTGTGGTGAGAGAGAGGGGGTAGCTGAACAAGTGATGGTACATGATTGTGGAGGAATACTACTGTGCCATAAGAAATGATAAGGGAAAGATGGCAGAGTGGTTCAGAAAATTCCAAGCTCTCCAGATTTCCACCACAAACAAGATAAAACAGCATGTCAGGGCAAACGTAGAGCAGTAAATAACCAAGAGTTGAAGCAGAATAGACAACCGGAGAAGATATGAAGAAAAATCCAATCCAAGGACCCAGGTTTGGTCCCTGTGAAGTGTGAACACCTCCAGGTTAGTGCTGCTGGGGCCAGCTGGCTTGGAAGGCTGCCTCAGCCCCAGCCACTGGAACTTTCACCTCCTGGGCAGTGTGGCAGTCAGGTGTCTGTGTGGGGGAAGATTGAGGAAACCTCTGCTGATAAAGGATACCAGCTCCTGGGTGAGAAGGAACCAGCACATGCCGGTGAGTGCAGAAGCAGTGGGGGGGATGCCGCTGGCTGTGGGCACCTACAGGAGGGCAGAGTTCTTGGTTTCAGTTCCAGGCCAGAGAAGAGAACTGAAGGAAGATCTGAGGCCAGAGGCACCAACCCCCATACCCCAGGACTAGAGGTGATTATAAATAACAAACTTAAAAAAATGAGCAGCCAAAAGAGAAGGAACCTAACCATAGAAAGTTATTATGGGAATAGAGAAGAGCGGGGTTCATCTTCAGAAGAGGTATACTGAAGCAAAAAAAGCCTCTCCTACCCCAATGTTAAATGGTCACTTGTCTAAAAAGAATTCATAAAAGAACTTTAAAAAGACTTTAAAAATCAAATGAGAGAGACTAAGAAAAAAAAAAAGGAACAAGCCAAGAAAAACAAGATTATGAAAAGAAAGTCAGCCAACTGGAAAAGGAGATCCAGAATCTTCAAGGAAGAAAATGACTCCTTGAAAATCAGAACTGGATAAAAGGAAGCCAGTGAAGTTATAAGAGACCAAGAAATAATAAAACAAAACATAAAAAATGAAAGAACTGAAGAAAATGTGAAACATCTCATAAGAAAAACAATGGACCTGGAGATCAGATCAAGAAGAGAAAACATAAGAGTAATCGAACTACCCGAAAGCTACAATAAAAAAAAAGATCTTAGGGGCAGCTAGGTGGCACAGTAGATAGAGCTTTAGCCTTGGAGTCAGGAAGACCTGAGTTCAAATCTGACCTCAGACACTTGACACTCACTAGCTGCGTGACACCGGGCAAGTCACTTAATCCTGAATGCCTCACCAAAAAGCCAAAAAGTAAAAAAAAAAAATAATTCTGATACACAGTATAAGTCTTCTAAATTCAGAAAGAAATAAAAAGCTAAGGGGATAGGGAGGGATTTTTAGAGGGAACCCTACTCACATCACATCTGGGTTAAAAAGAGAACAATATTTACATTTAGAACGGTATAAGAGTCTTCTAAATGTATAAATAAGAAGGTGAGGGAATAGGATAAGGGGGGGGTAGAGAAGGGTGTTTAGATTAACAGAAAAAGGATAAGGAAGGGATCTTTGGAGGGGGGTAGGTTAAGTAACAGGAGGGCAAGGTAAGGGGTAGAAGTAAAGTAGAAGAGTCAGGAGGGATAGGAAATAAGAGACACACAAACATAAAATAAAGATCATGAGTAGAATTTATTCAGCAGGGCAGGTAGACAGTGCAGTGGATAGAGCATGGGCCCTGAAGTCAGGAGAACCTGAGTTCAAATCCAGCCTCAGACCAAACACTTGACATTTACTAGCTGTGTGACCCTGGGCAAGTCACTTAACCCCGATCACCTCACCAAAAAAAAAAAAAAAAGAATAAAAAAGAATTTATTCAGGAAAAAAGCTGCAGTAGTAATCATGATCCCAAAATTAAATCTCAAATAGATTTAATCAAAAAAGAAGAACAGGGAAACTATAGTATATGTTAGTCATATTAATCAATAGCATTTTGGACTATTTAAAATAACTAGACCATATATGGTTGGAAGATTGCTGTGTTGTATGGAATGATGAGTTGGTGGGCTCAGAAAAATATGGGAAGACTTGGGCTTATGAAGGAAGGTGTTATCTACCCTCAGAGAAACAGTACAGTACAGTCCTACATAGATGCAAATGAATGCCTATGTCTATATATGACTATGTTTACAGATATCTAAGTAAAGGTGTCTGTAAGTGTATGCATGTGCATAAGCATGTATATATGTTTGTGTGTGTATATGTATGTGTATGTATATACATATATATATATATGAAAATGTATCTACACTTAATTGTAGCCTTCTTGGGGGAGTGGGGAGAGGAAGGCGGAAAAAAGAACAAAGTAAAAAACGCACAGCGGAGAACAAAAAAAAATGACAAGGAAGCAAAGAGAAGCTGGCAGCTCTGAACACAATGTGCAGTATTTATTATAGAGGCTTTCTTGAACTGGAAATTTATTGTGGTCTATTTTGCATCCTCTCTTACGTTCTGCTGTGCACATGGCAATGCTTTTTCTCTTATTTTGTATTTAAGTTTTAATATGCAGGTTTATATTATGTTTCTTTTTCTTTTCTTATTGTACATTTAAGTTTCAGTATGTAAATTAAAAATAAATTAAAAAAAAAAAGAACTGAGAAGGAGGATGGTTTCCTGGGAAGACCTATATGAACTGATGCAAAGTTGAAATGAGCAGAACCAGGAAACCTCATACACAGTAACAATCTTGTACAATATCAACTGCACACGACTTGGCTACCCTGATCAAAACACGAATCTAAGGCAATTCCAAAACACTCATGACAAAAATATTACTATCCATCTCCAGAAAGAGAAATGATGAACTCAGAGAACAGAATGAATCAGATTGTTTTCTCTTTTTCTTTTTTTGGGGGGGAGGTGGGAGGGGGAAAAAAACATGGCTAACTGCACGGAGAAATTTGTTTTGCATGACTTCACATTTATAATGGGTTTTGTACTTCTTGTCTTCGCAATGGGGGGTCGGCGAGACGGGGACAACAGACGACTCAAAATCAAACAGAATCCAAAATTAAACAAATAAAGAAATGAATACCTGACTGGGTAGACTTCAGGTCCAGCAGACTTTTCTACACAGCTATTCCTTGGGCTAGGGACAACATCCTGTCCCTCCCCCCGACCCTGGCAGCCCCTGAAGACAGCCAGGGACCAAGCCTCCTCGTCCTGTCAGGCCCCTGGGGCTGACTCAGATGTACTTACAAGCAGAGTTATTGAGGTGCTGATCACGCAGTGTGTGAAGTTCCCCAAGCAGTTTGTCCATTTTCTGTTTCTTTTCTTGTAACACTCGCATTTTGGTAAAAAGTTGAACTTTTTCATCAGACAGCTGTTCTGAGACAGATGAATTCCTGCTTTGGGAAACCTCCCTGGTTAATGAAAGGCTTTCTGCTTGTCTCCTATTATCTGGAACAGCTGGGGCCTTAAAGAGGAAAATAACATACATGCATCCTTATTCAGATACACGTTTATGTGTTATAACAAGCATTAAATTACTCTGAATAAAAGAAGGTTATGTTCTGGCTTGCTTGTTTTCCTCCACATAAACCTACAGATCACTAGTCCCCCCCCCCCCCCGAGAGGACTAGTAGCCTCAGTCAAGCGAACCTTGTGAGGGAGCCAAATGCTACCACTAAGTGGAATGACACCCCCACTACAACCCAGGCACTGGACACGTTGAAACCTTCCTGTATTCACGGCGGGAATGCCCAGCCCTGGGCAGCCGAAGCACTCGGCTACCCAGAGCAGGGGCTGAAGACTCGACGTCCTTTCTCCACCATCACACCAGCACCGGGACACCCTCATCTGTTCCTACCTGCCAAGAATCACCTTCACCACTTCCCCTAAACAGGCTCAAGTCGTGCACACACTTTCTCTTAAAGATCTTTATAAAGTCTGACTTAAAATTCTCCCCAAATGGCATGCAGGGATATTCAGGGACAAGTCACGATTATTTAACCCCCCTCCCCCCACCAACACAAACCCTCAAACACAGGGGCACAAAGGGAAGTCAATTATTCTTATCCTTAACATCAAAGGAATGTTCTTCTGAGGAAGGCAGATTTCCGCATAACTTGCGCTGTGTGAGATAAAAGGGTACCTGGGAGTCGTGCAGCTGATTATGAAAACGCTGGATCAAGTCATTCAGCTCTTCATTGAGCTCCGATGTTATACTGATGCCAGATATGCTACCCGTGGTTTCCGTTACAACTAGAAAGCAAACAACAAAGCTCATTTTGTTCCCATGACCACAGGAGGAAGAATATTGTAGTAAGAGCCCCTCCCTCCTCCCAGGCCCCTGGGGTGCCCTTCCTGGCCTTCCAAGACTCACAGTATGACTGTTCAAAAACACCAGCAGAGCTGGTGTGTACACGATGCACTAACTCAGTGATCTCACTCCATCTACAACTGGGAGATGGTACAACGGTAACTATTCCCATTTTACAGACGAGCAAAATGATGATGGGGTTGTGGAAGTGACTGTCGGGCTGTGGCAGAGCTGAGCCCATCGCTCAGCCCTCTTTCTACTCTACCAGAGCTGGACGCCCAGACCCTAGCACAGTGCCAGGTATGCAGCAGGAGCTCATGCCCAAAGAGCAGCTTCCGGCACGTGACTCCTGCTGTTGCTGGGCATGACGGCATCTCCGAGCCACAATGCTGCCTTTCAGACATCGGACCAACAATCAGTCAGACACCATAGAATGCACTGCTGGGGCTGGGGGGGATACAAAGTGGAGGGGTGCCAGAGGCCTTTCCCGCGACTCTCAGTCTGGGTGCAGCTGGGTGGGCAAGGAAGCCCAAAGCCCCCTCAAGATGCAGGCCCAGGCCCAGCCGGCTGCATCCCTCTGACTTCTCTCCCACGCCCCCATCCCTGCTTTGAGCTTCCTTTCGTATGCCGTCTTCCCCCACTGGATTGTAAGAGACACAGTTCTTTGTCTTTGTAACCCTGCACTCAGCAGGGTGCCGGGCACATGGTTGGCACGAAGGAAATGCTTCCTGACTGACAAAATGGAAACCTGTGGGGGCAGTCCACTACAAACTGGGCATTCGCTCCAGCAGAGCAATCCCTTTATTGTCCAGACTGAGGCTCTCCCCCAGCGCCCGGTGCCCTTGGCTGAGTGCTATGCAAGTGTGAGTTTTACAATGGAAGCTAGTGAGTAGCCTTTTCTTCCCTGTTCCCTTCAAAAGCCATCCTGATCAGGGTTTCCACACCTGGGCTTGGCCTGTGACACGGCCCAGGGACAGCATGCTTCATGGCATGCACCAAGAAGGCCAGGGTAGCTGGACGGCAGAGTCAAGTCCCCACAGGCTGCAGAGAGGGGCTGGCAACAGGAAGCCACTGTGGCTTACTGAACAGGGAGTGACGTACTGGACACATACTAGAGGAAAATCACTACAGCAGCTGGGTGGGAGACGGATCAAAGAGGGGAGACTTGGAGCAGAGGACCAAGCAGGAGGCAGTGATCAAGTGCCTGCCAGAATTTTTTCCCAGACATCCCACTGCATCTGCATGCCTTCCCTTTTAAATCCTCCCCAACTCAGAACTTCTGTCAGTGAGGCTGCCATTCTTCTAGTCGCCCAGGTTTGCAATCCTAGAGTCATGCCCGACCCAATCTTCCCTCTACCTGTGCTCCAACATTCAATCTGATGCCAGGTCTTCTCGCTTCCACACCCACACCATAATCTCACACAGGTCCTTCCTTAGTTCACACGCTTCTCACCTTCTGGAGGGTGGTCCCCCTGCTTCCTTTCCCACACCCACAAAAATCACCCTGAGAGGAAAGGTCTCCCCAGGCCATTCTGCTGCTTAGGAATCTTGAGGGCCCCTCATGCCTCTAGAAACAACCATAAATGCTTCCCCTGGACACATCGCTGTCTTGGCTTCAGCTTTCCTTTGTAGACTTCATGCTATGCGCCTTCTCAACACCCTAGTTCTGCCAAACTGACTTGCAGCCACGTCCCCCAACATGTTTCTCCCATCTGTCTCCAGGCCAACACCTGCAATTCACATCCCACTCGCGTCTGCCTCTTCCTTGAAGGCTTGGCTCATGGCAGAAACCTTTCCTGGTTCTGCTCGTCAGTGCACTCACCCTCCCCAAAGCAGTTTGTGTTTCATCCTCTATGTATAGACAGTTTCCCTAAGCACCACAGAAGTGCCTTGAGGGAGAGCCCGCTTTCTCCTTCCCAGAACCCAGCACATCAGAGGCTCTTGAACCAGGAAATGGTCCAAATCTTTACAGCCAAAAGACTGGCTGAAAGGGGCCGAGTGACATACGAAAAGAAAAGGCTCCTCCCTGGGCACCTCAGAGGCAGGCCAGTCTCCTCAGCAAGGAGTCTCTCCTATACCATCAAGGTCACATGACATTCCTCCATAGCCAGATGATTGACAAGGCTTGATTGACAAGGCTCCAGGCACCGGCGGGGACAAACAGCCTTGCTCCATGCCATCCCACTCACTGTTCTAGAACAGGGCCTCAGAGCGCCCCCAAAGAGATTAAAAAGGAATGGAGAATTGTTTAACAACTAAAAATACAATAGAACACAGATAGAATACGTGTCTTCCTAAGTTCATATGCAGTCCACAGGGGCCGTCTTGGTTTGAGCTTGACCCTGTTACTTCTAGAGTCTTGGGCAGGTCCCAATGGAAAAGGGCTTCTTGGGACTGAGGCTCCAGCCAGACATTTGGGCTGCATCTGAGGATCCCAAGGCACCCCTCTCAGGCGTGCCGCTCCCTTCTCCTGAACCCGTCACTTCAACATAGTGTTTCTGATGAGGCTTTGAGGAGTTGTTTCATGATTCACAGCCTTAGTCTCTGCAGAATCCATGCTACAGATGACCCAAAGGCATAAAAAAAAAAAAAGCTGTGTACAACAGGTTCGATAGGCTATAGCAGCCTTCTGCCAATGATGATCTAACGGCTGAAGGTTAGTGCTGAGGATACGTCTGATCAGCAAAGGAGTTGGGCCTGCCCTGGAGTCGAAGCAGGGAGTGGCACACATTCAGGGTTAGGCACTCAGGCTGCAGCAGCACGTGGAAGCCATATCAACTGGAGGGCTGAACCTCTGTGGAAAGTCTAAAAAGGGAGAGCCCCCCACCCGGGTGGTGATTGGCAAGGAGGGAGAGAACACTGACACTGAAGAGATGGGGATGGAAGGAAAGGGTTTTCTAAACCTTATTATTTCTATCCTTATTAACAATAACAACATATAATTACGTTTTTTATTCACAAGTTTCCTCCAAGATATTTCTAAGAGACACAGAGAATTTGATTTTAAATCTATGCCACAACTCTTTATGATATAAAAAATCCACAGTAAAATACACTGCACATTTCATGATTTCACTTTACTTTTAAAATCAGAGACAAGCTTCTTTAAACTTACTTTCTACTCTCTGACACTGTACAATCACGGAATCAGGAAATGAAGAGGACCCCAGAGATCGCTTGGTCCCACGGAAGTCAACGGAGGCTCACTGACTTGTCCATGCGTTTGGTCATCTCCCAACTCTGCCTGTGCCCTGGCTCCTTCTCTGTTGTCTACAAACATGCCCATGTCTACACCTTCTCCAAAATCCTCACTTGAGCCTTCCGCCTCTGCTCTCTCTCTCTCCACCGAGTCCATTCTCACCACAGTGACAAGCAGTCTCTTCGTTACCAAAGCCAGTGGCCTCTTCTTGGTCCTCCTGCTCCTTGGTGATCCCTCTCTCCTCTCTCAGTTTTCAGGACGCAAGCCTCTCTCCTGGTTCTCCTCCCACCTCTCTGACCACTCCTTCCCTGTCTCCTTTGCTGGAGCCTCCTCCACATCTTGCTCCCTAACCGTAGGCGTCCCTCAGGGCTTTGCCCAGGGCCCTCTTCTCTTCTCCCTCCACACTGCTTTACTTGGGGATCTCGTCAGCTCCCAAGATTGTCCTCAATGTACTTACATTGTCTTAACCTCTCAGAAGATCTCCAGCTCTCCAACCACCCATTAAACATCTCCAACTGGGTGTATGGTAGACACTTCAAACTCAACATGTTCAAAACAGAGATCATTCTCTTTCCCCCTAAACACTTCTCCCCGACCCCTTCCCTATCACTGTAGAAGACAACAGTCTCCTCCTAGTCTCCCAGGCTCACAACTTGGGTGTCCCCCCCGATTCCTCCTAAATCTGACTGGCTGCCAAATCCTGTCGTTTCTACCTTTGTACAACATACCTCCTTCTCTCCACTGACACGCACCACCTAGATGCAAGCCCTTTGTCAAAGAGAAAGGAATCAGAAATACATAACCATCCTTAATTTAATATTGAACAGGGGAGGTGCTATAAAAAATGAGAAGAATCTGATTTTTCTGATTGAACTGCTTGATATTGTGACCTAATACCTGAGGATACACCCGTGGCATCAGAGACCACGGCCACTTTGTTCAGTGCCACGGAACTTGTGATCTACCTCAGCTGTGGACAAGTGCTGAGTATACAAGCTGGGAGTGGGAGCACTGAGGATCCTAGCCCCACAACAGGGTGCACAAACCCAGGCCCAGCCTGAGCCGCACGGTCCAGGAGCTGCTAGGGACACCTTTTCTGGCTGCACAGGTCTCTGACTCAACCCTAAGATCAGGAGCCCAGTACTGGGGGCCAACCTCCAACATTTTGGTTCTCCCCCTTCTCCCTGGCTTACCAGAATCATCCATTACAGAGATGGCTTGCTCAGCCTTGTGCTGCAGAGCCAGGAGAGCTGCCTGCCTTCCTTGTAAAGCTCTCAACTCCTCCTGCTGCTGTAACATTCTTTTTAACAAATCATGTTGTTTCTTCAAGCTCTCCAGCTCTTCCCTGGGCTGCTGCTGAGGATCTCTGGCCTGAGGAATAAATCAATCCATGCTTAATTCCGAGTTGTCCAAGTGTTCGACTGCACCCCCAGACACACAACTACATCTTTACACTAGTAAAAGATAAACCCCTCAGAACAAGCTTTTCATAGTCTGGAGTAAGAGCGTAAGATCTGAATGGCTCCAGAAACAGAGCACTCTCTATGAAGGCAGTGAACACAGGAAGGAGACAAGGAAGAGGGAGAAGACACATTCAGGGGAACAGAGAGAGGGCATATGGAATTAGAGAAGGACCACAAAAGCACACATTTGGGCAGTACCCCAGCACCATGTCTTTCAGACAAGCCACATTAGGACACCTTCTCTACAGTTGGCACCAAAAAGAAAACCTCCCCAAACCCTTCAGAAATACTCCTGGCACTACTAACCAAAGACAGGAAGGACTGACTTGATACTTTTATATGGTAAAGTTTTAACTCAATTATATGAAACTTCAGTTATTAATTTCATCTTATTAATATGGTAGATACTCTTAGATTATGGAAATAGCTCAGAAATGTGCAATGTTCCATTTTAAGGTAAGTCACTGGTCTTCAAGTTTTTTCTCTCACAATGAGGATCACATCACTGACCCTGATGCCCCACCTTCAGAGAAGCCAGTTTCTTACTAATGCCAACAAGGTTAACCTCGGTGTGGTCCTGCTCAAAGGTAGTATCTATACAACTGCCCTATCCCACTTAAAACTAACGAGCAGATTTTAAATTTCATTCCAAAAACTCTAGTCAAAAAAGGATAAAGGCAACCCTTCCAGACGAAAAACATGACTTCTTAAAGTCACATACTTAAGCATGAGACCCCTCAAAAGATATAATAGCTTAATGTGCAAGTCAGAAAATGGTGGCACAAATTGTAACAGACTTTTCTTTTTATCACTGACTTTCTGATATATTATTTCCCAGTGAGGTATCTTAAAATAGAATATAAGATGCCTCATACTTAACATTTTTATTAGAAACTTTCCCCCAAATCTGAATTTACGTTAACTCTAAATTTCCACCCCCCAAAAGTCTGGTAGGGTCAAGGTTTTCTTAAGTGGATAAGGATGTCTAAAGAGTTTGCAAAAGAGAACCTAGGTTGTTCACTGAATATACCTCCTCTTTGTGAAGTCAAGCTGCACTGAACTAGTTTACGGACATGTTTTGGTTCTCTGGAGAAATCAGGGAGAAGAAAAGAAAGTCACTTCTGTGTGACTGTCCCTCCCAATTCCATTCACAAACACTTACATACTTGTCGGGATCTGAACAAAGAACACCCCAAGCAAGTGAGAGTAACTATGATTTTACAGCCTTCTGGAACGCCAGTCCCTCATTAACTCCTGGTCAGTAAGAAGTCTCTCAAGTCCCCCTATAATACTGCTGAGATGCTCTCCTTCTGTACTACAACTGCCATTGAAAAGGAGTCCACCATTATGCGAGCTCCACGATGACGTGGTAGGAAATATGAATGTGCATATGAAACAGATAATCCCACCCACTTTATACTGCTGAGAGCTATACTGTAGCTATCTGTATACACCATGGGGACTTGGAGGCAGTTAGTGATAACCATGTCAGCTCTGAACATTCCTGTCTGGTCAGCACAGTTTGGGTCAGGGACATTCTGGTAACATAATCAAGGCCGAGAGGACTGAAGAAGAGAGAACAAGCAGGTGCCAGCCAACGAGCGTGGCCTCCATGGACCAACTCTGCCTTTTCCAACCCTGCCTGCCCTGTGTAACCTGACCACACAAAACCCCATTCCTTCTCATCAGCCATCGGTCACCCTCTGTGTATCCGGCGCCTGACACATCTGACTTGTCTCAGGACGGGAAGAAAAGCTCTGCATTACCTGCACATGCCCTCCAGACTGAAGGCTGAAAGAAGAGGCTGCTACCCCCTCCTATGCTCTGCACTCGCTGTCAGTTTTTATTAAGAACTACAGACAACACAAGTGGGGGGGGGAAAGGAGAGAAGAATGCCAGAAATGACAAAAGAGAAGGAAACCTGGTGGAAGTCAGACCTCAAAAAGAACCTCTGGTAGCTGGGGTAATCAAGGCTATAGTATATCCTGACCCAACAGAGATGTTCTCTGTCTTACTGGAAGATGCCCAGCACTGAACCAGTCTTTGTGGTCACTACAGCGGATGAGGCGAGTACCTCAGGGAAATCCTCTACAAATGACCATCAGATGGCTCCTCTTCCTAGGGAGTGACTGACCTTTTAGAGGACCACACCCCAGAAGCATAACTAGATGCTGCTGCTGTACACCTTACATTTCTCCACACTCAGGCAGTGGAGACGGCCGCTCACTCAGAGTCTGGCTCACAAGAGCTTTCTGAGGCCAATGCCTGTGGGCTGCCATGTCTCTCCCCTCCACCTGGGGCGTTCCTGCTGGAAACTCCCTCGTCAGGGTCACCTGTAAAAGTGTCGCTCGGGGCCCCGCCTTCCTCTGCTCACTTGTGGGCTGGGGATGACACTGGGTTCCAGGCAGCCAAGGCTGGAAAGGCTCAGAACCAGGAGGAGTCTGCTTTCGAGGCTCACCACTAGCAGAAGCCTGGCCTACCACTGGGGGATGAAGTCTCCCTAAAATAAAATGGCCCCCGCTCCTGCGTGGCCAGAGTAGAGGGGGCTGAGCCCCAGTTATCAGGCAGCCTAAAAACTTGGACTTGGCCCTTGCCCCAAATGTGAGGCCTTGTCTAAGGGGCCGCACACGCTGCTGGAGGAAATGAAGGGTGTCACTCCTGGGGGTCTGGTCGCCAGGGAGAAGTGAAGAAGGAAGCCGCAGTGAAAGGATGGATGGGATACAAAGAGAGGGACCAGCATTGCTGATCTTACAAGAAGCAGCATTTCACGGGCTAGGGGACCATCTGGTATGCAGCAGACACACTAATGGCTACTGCCAAGGACAAACGGGCAGAGACGAGAGAAGCCAAGCTCCCCTTTTGCCTTCCCTCCCTCGAGGGTCACCTCTCACTTACTCTGCACGAATGCGTGTTTACATCATGATTCACACCTCGGCTCCCCCACGGGGCAGGAGAGCTGCTGGAGGGCACGCACCCTATCTGTACCTTTCTTTGCATCCCCAGCGCGTAGCACAGAGCCTGGAACACAGGAAGCGCTTAATAAATGTCTGGTGATGATGATGATGAAGACAGCATGGAAGGATGGAAACAGGGAAGTCCACAAGTAAAAAGATTAGCAGAGGTTAAGAAACAAACTCCGTTCACCACTATCAGGCTAGAAGGGGGTCCAATGGCCTGGAAGTGGAGGTGGGGTGGTACAAGAGGAAAAGCTCAGGGGTCTGTGGGCTGGAAGCCTACTCTGGTGACCCCGCCTGCCTCAGTTGCTCATCCGTAAAATGGGAAGGCTGGAAAGTAGTGTTGTCTGCGTCTGGGAGCAGAGGAGGCAGGGGGGCCGACAAGGCTGCCTCTCCAGGAAAAGCAGCCGGGCCAGACCACATTGGCCACAACTGCCGAGGGCATTAATGCTAGGCTAAAAGAAAGACGGGGACATACCAAAGCAGTGGGGAGAAATCTTGGGCCTTGTTAACGTAGGGAAAAAAGGGAGCCACAAAAACCTCTATGCCTCCTTTCCAGCAGGAAGCACCCTCTCGGCTCCACATCTACCAACACACACAGAGGCAGGTGGAAGGGTGAAGGGTATAAGCATCCACAGAAATCCACCCTGGCAGTGCCAGGCCCCAGGCTAAGCGCTTCTACAAAGATGACCTCCCTGGAACCTCATGACAACCCCAGCAGGAAAGTGCCATTATGACTCCCTTGGACAGCTGAGCAAACCGAGGCAGACAGCAGTGCGGTGACAACAGATGGAAGATGGAGCAAACACAAGATTCCCGTGCATGCCTACTGATCCTTTACAAAGAAGGTGGTGATGAAAACTTAGTCAAGGAGGACGGCCCTGCAGGCTTCTCCCTTCACACATCCCAAGCCTCTGTTCACAAGGCCCCCAACAGGTGACTGACACTCGCCATAGCAGAGCTCGTGGTGAAGGCGGCGTTTCCTCTGATGGTGAGGTCCTCCACATGCCCCTGCTGGCATCCGATGCTGTGGGGGAGGCAGGAAAGCCATGAGCCTCCTAGGAGAGATCTGCAGCCACTCAAGAGGCTGGCTCGACCCTCCGGAGGAGGGAGAAGTGTACAGTCACGGTGGGCTGCCTTCAGGAAAGTGCAGAGCTCCAAGGATGCCCCCAAGCTGACAGCACCATGTGGCCGCACTGGCCAGGACTCGGATCCTCTGATCCTGTCTCCAACACTTACTGGGTGCTCTTGCACTAGCCTCATTTTCCTCATCTGGAAAAGGAGGGAGTTGGACATGATGGTCTCAAAGGTCCCTTCCAGCCCTAGGGCTGGGATTCCAGGAACCGAAGACACAGAGGCCAAAGGAGAGGTGGGGGGCATCCAAAAAGATGGGCTGGTCAGCATGGCCAAGGCCAAGGGGACCAGGTAGGCAGCCCAGGGGCCAGCTCTGCAGGGGCTGTGGTGAACCAAGGCAAGGTTCTGCAGCCAGGAACAGGCTGCAATCTCCATCGCTGATGGGACCACCCAACATGAGGAAGTGGGTACATGCACACGTGGTATACTGGAGGGAGACCGTCCAGCTTGTTCTCAAACACCCCTCTGTCTCTGGAGGCTGCCATGATGCCCTACCCACTCCTGCTAAAACCCAAGGTTCCTTTTCACCAGACACAGCCAAAGTGCAGGAACTGACCCCCAGAGTAGATCAGCGGGGCCCTCAGAGGCCTAGGAAGAAGTTCAGCGTGAATATACACATGATTAGCTGATGCAAGATGAAAATAAAACTAGGAGAAAAGAGCTAAACCTTCATAGAAAACACAAAAACAGTATGCAGCTATGGAAAGCTGAGCCCTTACGTGCATCCCTCTCATGTTGGAGCAAGGCTAAGCTTATCCAGAGATTCCAGGAAATAGTGAGTGCGCAGGGAACCGAAATGTTAAGGATTTATTTTATTTTA